AGCTATGAGTTGTTTCACAATGTCCTAGAAATTATGATTTGTTGCATATATTTATAGATAGTCAGGCTTCCATGTCCATGAATTCAACCAAGTATATATTGAAAATATTAGGGGAAAAATATACCTGAAATGCATATTTACAGATTTTTTTTCTATCACTATTCCCTAAACAATACAGTCTAATAACTATTTACATGCCGTTTACATTATATTAGGTATTTTAAGTAATTCAGAGATGATTTAAAGTATATTATAGAGGATCACCAGGCATGGGGACAGTGCCTTTAGTACCAGCTACTCGGGTGGCTGAGGCAGGAGGATCATTTGAGCCCAAGAATTTGGAGTTAACCTATACAACATAGCCCGGACCCTGACTCCAAAATAAATAGATAGATAGATAGATAGATAGATAGATAGATAGATAGATAGATAGATAGATGGATGATATGAAAACTCTCCACTCTATTTTAAATAAGGAATTTTTGAATTTGAACATCCCGGATTTTGGTATCCATCGGGAATATTGGAACCAATGCCCCCTGGATAACAAGGTATAGCCATGTGTGTGATACTTCATTCAACACCTCAAGCATTAGTGATTGAGATATCATTCCTTCATGTGTTCCTTATTAGAGATACAGATTAACAGACTCATATTGTGATTAGCAATTTGCTATTGTAAGGGTTGACATGCAGTCAGAGGGTTTTACTTCTGGATCCCTGTACTATTAGGGAGTTCACTTAACCTCTCTGAACTTCCATTTCTTCAGCTTGATCTTTCCACTGTTTATACTTTTAATGACATGTGTCTGAAAGTGCATTTATAATGCCCTTTTTCAATATTAGGCATAGTAATTAGACTGGAACTAATTTAGATAGTCCAGTCCTGCTAAAGAGAATCTTTATTAATTCTGTAGCTCTTTGGGTGCTCAATACAAATTAGATATTTTAGTTCTTTCAATCTTTAGATGTAACTTTCTTATTTTTGTGTAATATTTTAAAAATACATTTGTATTTTATTTTGATTTTTTTTTTTTTTGAAGTGCTGGGGATCAAACACAGGGCCTTGTGCATACTAAAATAAGCACTCTACCACTGAGCTACATCCCCAGCCCACAAACATTATTTTATAAAAACTATACATTTTTTTACTCATTTTCAGATGTAAATGTTTCCAAGTCCTTTAGTAAATTGCATTATTGTGATAACCTTTGTTTTACACATTGGTACCATATTTTTTTGTTTTTGAGCTACAGGGACGTGTGCTTTTTACTGATGTAATTGTAAGCAACTTTATGTCACAAACTAAATATATTTATGATGGTGTGGCATTAAATCAAAACTAAGGAAAGAATAAACTGCTGGTAAGAAAAGTTCTGCCTTTGTAATCCCACTAAAGCGATTAATTCTATATTGTGCTAGATGGTTTGTTAAAGAGACTGAACTTTCTGACAAGGTAAGCTGGAGCCTAGCAGAATTCTACCTGGCCTCCTATTTATGTGTAGGATGACCATCTTGAAAAAAACAATACATGATAGTTAAAAATATTGTTCTGCAAATCTTGAAATATACATGTTTGTTTTGGAAGCTGCAAAAAGGAATCTTTAAAGTTTGTTCTGCATATTTTATTAGAAAGCTCTTAAAATTAGACATATTGGTTGGCTTTGCTGTAATAAAACACACATAGTACCTGTCCTTAAGGTCTAGGCTCTTAAACAAGCATTAAAGCAGACAGATCATGGACATGCTCTTCATAAAACATTTTACTTAACTACCAACAATTGGGGAAATCAAGTTGAAAATTGGTATTCACTGTACTCTTTTCCAGCTTTTGTGTAGAGGTGAATTTTTTTTTTTTTCAAAATATAGGGTTGGGGAAAATTTAAAACATTTTTTTTTTTTTTAGTAGAATTTTGTTTTGTTTGCTTTTTAGCTCTCTGACCTTTATGGGGGCAGGTAGAAAAATGAGAAAGATAACCAGAAGTTCCCTGTGGTTTTGAATCTTATTTTGTAATTAGTACTTATCACATTGGACAAGTAGGTCTGTAGTTAAATAATTAAAGTAATATCTTTATCAATAAATGGCAAGTTATAAAAACTGTCTTACATTCACATAGAGGTTTGTTTTGTTTTTAGTTTACATAAAGCTTTTTTATGTGAAAGGCAAGTAAGTAGAAATGGTTTATCCTTATTTTACAAAAATTAACTTTTAGCTAATAGTTGGTAAGTAGTACCAAATTATTATTTTACGGGTCTGTAAATTGCAAGTACATCACTTATTAAATATATACAAATATAAAGAATTGAGCTAGGGTTGTGGCTCAGTAGTAGAGTGCTTGCTTAGCATGTGTGAGGCACTGGGTTCAATTCTTAGCACTGCATATGAATAAATAAAATAAAGGTCCACTAAAAACATTACAAAAAAAGAATAAAAGGAATATAAAATTTAGTACTAGAAGAACACTATTTTAAAATTGTACTATTGAAAGTTGCTTTTCAACTTAGGCAGACTAATTAGATAAAAATACTTTTAAAAATACAATTTATCATATTTTAGATTTCTAATTAAGCTAAATTTTAAAAAGCATTTAAGAAGAAGCAAAAACTAAAACTAAAATTTTCTAAAAGATATGAAAGAATATCTTTATGACTTGTAGACAATAATTTATTTAGGCACAGAAAACAATAATCATTAAAGGAAGAAATGATGTTAGATTTCATCAATTAAAAGCATCTACTTGTGAAAAGAAAACATTCAAAAAGTGAATAGGCACATCATAGACTAAGACAAAATATTTATAAAACAGATATGTGATAACCAACCTGCGTCCAAATATATAAAGGGTACCCACAACTTAATGATAAAGAGACAATTCGGTTAAAAATTAGACAAGATTTGAGGAGACACTTCACAAAGAGAGATATATAAATGACCAGTAAGTACAGCACACACATTGTTAGTCATCATAAAAATGCAAAGTAAGTTGATAGATATTAGGACACCAGAATGGCCAAAATTTAACAAGAAAAAATACTGACAATACCAAATGATGATTAGGATGTGAAGCAACCAGAGTTCTCATACATTGCTTACAGACATGCAAAGATGGCAAAATAGGTTAGCAGTTTTGTGGGTTTATTTATAACAGCTCTTTTGAGGCATAAAATTTACTGGTTTTAAGTTTGCAGTTCAGTGAGTTTTGGTAAACGTGTACAGTTATGAAAATAGTAGAACAACCAAAATATATAACATTTCCATTACCTTCATGTCCTGTTACACATGCTCCAGGTAACTGTGCGTCTGTTTTCAGACAATATAGTTTTACCTTTTCTAGAATATCATAGAAATGCAGTCATTTCAGTTAAAAATTAGACAATTAAGTATGTAACATTTTGTGTCTGGCTTTTTTTTTTTCCTCACCAGAATACTTTTGGGATTCATTAACGTTGCATTTTAAAAATTGGCAAAAGATTTGAACAGACATTTAACAAAAGAATATAAATAAATGATCAGTAAACATACCATATTAACATACTCAGTATCACGAGTCATCAGACAAATAAAAATTAAAATCTTGATAATACATGTATTAGCAATTGGAACACAAATGCATTGCTGGTGGGAATTAAAAATGGTACAGCTACATTCAAAAACAGGCAACTTTTTTAAAAAAAATTAATGCTATAATTCCCATATAAAACATTTATTTTACTTCAGTGTAATTTATCCAATATAATGATGAAGTAATTGTTTACTAAAGTTCAGGGTACCTTTTGAAATTTTTTTCCCCAAGCATTGGGGATTGAACCCATTGCCCTGCACTTGCTAGCTTCGTCACCAGCCTCCACCCACATCTGCTTGTCTGTCTGTCTCTCTCTCTCTCTCTCTCTCTCTCTCTCTCTCTCTCTCTCTCTCTCTCTCTCTTTCTTTCTTTCTTTTTTTCAGATAAGTTTCTCAGTCTGGCCTCAAATATAAAATCCTCCTGCCTCAGCCTCTCAAGTAGCTGGCATTACAGGTGTGCGCCACTGTTTGTAGCATTGTTCATAGCTTATTTGTAGCACTTTTTCTTACAGCAGCCAAAAACTAGGAAATAACTAAAATGTCTACCAATAGGAAATAGATTTTTCTAAGTTCTAGAATAAGTAAGACTAATTATATTGCTTTTCTATTGCCACTATAACAAATTACCATAAACTTAGGGGTGTAAACAGCACATACTTTTTATCTTACGTTTTTATAGGTCAGAAGACTAACAGTCTCCTCAGACTAAATCAGGATGCTGATAGAGCTGTGATTTTTGCTGTGGGCTCTGGGTAGGATCCTTTTTCTTGCTTTTTCTAACTTCTAGAGGCTCTACTCCTTGATTCGTGGTCCTCTTACTCTGTCTTCAAGCCAACATTGCATCACACTGACCTCTTCTGCCTCCTTCCTCTTTTAAGGACCCTTGTGATTACATTGGGTTCATACTAGTAAACCAGAATAATCTCCCCATTTTAAAGTCAGCTGATTAGCTGTTTATTTCTGTCTACAACCTTAATTCCTTTTGTCACATAGGTAATATACAGTTTCCAGGGATTAAATCATGAACATCTTTAGGGACCATTATTTCACCCTTTCATACTTCTAATCTTTTTTAAGATTAAAAAAAGAGTGGTGATTGTCCCTGAGGAGTACCGAGTAGAAAGTAAGGGGAATTAATTGGGCAGTGATGTGTGGAATTTGGTGGCAAAATAGAAGTGTCTTCTGTTATGCTAGAGGGAATATACAAGGTTGTAATCATTTGTCAAATTCACACAGCTAAGATTTATATATTTCAATGTATGTAAATTTAATTTTATAAAAAGTACTATTAAAAGTAAAAACAATGAGGGGACATGGGGAATGGGAAGAGGCATAGAGGAAACATGGGATTACAGGCATGCACCACCATACCTGGCATCACAAGTTAATATTTAAAGTATCGGACTTTGCAGTAATAACTGAAGTTTCTTTTTGGTAGCCATGAAGAACTATATTCAGGTCGCCCTTATGGAGCCCTTGATTCAGGTTTCAATAGTGTGGACAGTGGTGATAAGAGATGGTCAGGGAATGAGGTAAGTGTTTCTTTATTCTGAATGTCATAACTCCTGATTAAGAGAAAATAAAATAATGAAAAGGAAATATCTAAACTGGATCCAGTTTTCTTATTACATAACAGATAAGCCAAGGCAAATATCTCACATAGCTCTACCATTCAAAAATAGTATTCTGTTTCTTTACCATCTTTTTATCATGTGTATTCTCACATGCTTGTTCCTCATTGTATCAATAGTTTCTTTTTCTGGAAAGCTGAACAGCAGTTAAGTCAGTAAAATTGAAACCTAAAATCTGAGAGTCTGGGGTAAATCTGGAGCAGAGATGGTAGAAGAAGTGCTAGAAGGTAGGAAAATAAATAGTAGTAAGGAGATGGAATCTTACTGAAGAATACCACATGCTCAGAATTACATTTTTTTCCTGTTTTGTTCAATTACCAGTGATAATGTTTCCTGCTTTTTAAAAATTATTAAGGTGTAATATTTTAGCTATACATTTATTAAATGAACAAATGAGCTTTTGTTACCCGGACTGGTAACATAGTTTATAACATGTTTCACTGAATGCAAAGAAAATCTAATTTTGGACTGGGGTTGTGACTCAGTGGCAGAGCGCTTGCCTCGAACCTCTGAGGCACTGGGTTTGATCCTCAGCACCACATAAAAATAAATAAACAAAATAAAAATATTGTGTCCCTGTATAACTAAGAAAATTTTAAAAAAAATAAATTTTGACCTCAGCTCATTTATAACTTTTTTTTTTTTTGTACCAGGGATTGAACTTGGGGCATTAAACCATTGAGTTATATCTCCAGCCCTTTTATTTATTTGTATGTTTATTTGTTTATTTATTTATTTTTATTTGGGGGTGGGGGAGTTACCAGGGATTGAACTCAGAGACACTCGACCACTGAGCTGTATCCCTAGCCCTATATTTTATTTTATTTAGAGACACTAAATAGGGTCTCACTGAGTTGCCTAGTGCCTAACCATTGCTGAGACTGGCTTTAGAACTTGTGATTTTCCTGTCTCAGCCTCCCAAGCCACTGGGATTATAGGTGTGTGCCACCTCCTGGTCTTTATTTTTTATTTTTGACCCAGGGGCTCACTAAGTTTCTTAGGGTCTCACTGAGTTGCTGAGGTTCATGGATCCTCCTGCCTCAGCCTCCTAAGTCCCTGGCCATAGCTACCACACCTGGCTACTTTTATTTATAACTTAGGATTGCTTGTGTATGTATATCTGGGTAGCTATGTACATAAATGTTGCTTTATCCATAGAGAGATATATGTAGATAAAGTTATATACTCATAAATACCTTTATTTCTTCTTTTTGGTAATTATAGTAAAATATATGTAACATAAAGTTTTAACCATTGGGGTGGGGGGTACTGGGATTGAACTCAGGGGCACTCAACTATTGAGCCACATCTCCAGCCCTTTTTTGTATTTTATTTAGAGAAAGGGTCTCACTGAGTTGCTTAGCACCTTGCTATTACTTAGGCTGGCTTTGAACCCACAATCCTATGCTTCAGCTCCTGAGTTGCTGGGATTACAGGCGTGCACCACTGTGCCCAGCTAAGTTTTAACCATTTTAAAGTGTACATTTCTTTTGCATTCAGTACATTCACATTGTCCTACAATAATCTTCATTGTTTTATTTCCAAAACTTTTTCACTATTTTTTCTTAAATGTAATTTTAATTAGTTTATATTGTGCTCATATAAATATGCATCCAAATTTGAAAATTTTTTTTAATGTTTCTACTACTTTTTTAAGCCTACAGATGAATTTTCAGATCTGCCTCTCCGAGTAGCAGAGATTACTAAAGAACAAAGACTACGACGAGAAAGCCAATACCAAGAGAATCGCAACAGTTTAGTAGTAACAAATGGTGGAGGTAAACATAATCTCAATGACATCTGAAATCTTTATAGTCACCTTAACTTTTTTTTTAATATGTACTATAAATAAAAAATATTCATCAGTTGTTGATGAACCTTTATTTTACTAACTTATTTATATGAAGTGCTGAGATTCAAACCCAGTGCCTCACACATGCAAGGCAAGCACTCTACCGCTGAGCTACAACTCTAGCCCCTGGTCATGTTAACTTTTTAAAGTGGTCTCTTTCACATCTATTCCTGTGGTTCTGTATCTGTAACTTCTTCACTTTTGGGGGTGGTGTGGGGAGAGGAAGTACTATCAGTTTAACCCAGGGTTGTTTAACCACTGAGCTACTTCTCCAGCCTTTTATATATTTTTTTTTATTTTTAGATAGATTCTCAATAAGTTGCTTAGGGCCTCACTAAATTGCTGAGGCTGACTTTGAATTTGCCATCCTCTGCCTCAGCCTGCAGAGCCACTGGGATTACAGGCATGTGCCACCATGCCTGGCCACATCTTCTTTTAAAGTACCATTCTCCCTTAGTAAGATTTTTCTTTTTGAGCTGGGGATGTAGCTTGGTAGTTCGAGGCCCTGGGTTTAATCCCCAATACCAAAAAAAAAAAAAAAAATCAAAACAACTCCTTTTTTTAAGGCATTATTTGATCTCTGTAAGAATTCAGCACTTTTCTTTTTCTGTATGTTTGCCTTTTCTTTCATCTAGAATAATGATTTTCAAGGACTTATGAATTCATTTTCCTTATTCTGGAATTTAAAACATTGTAGTTTTCATGGAGTGAGCAGGTTTTTTTCTGCTTTCTTGTACTTCTAAAGCAGACTTGAAATATTGTAATCATTTTATATTGTTTTAGTTTGAGTAACCACATACTGATGTTTAAATTTTGTGAATCGCATATAAAGGAAGAAATGGCTTTGATTTTCCATTATGTTGTAACAGAAGAGCTTTCATCTGTGAATGATTATTTCAATTAAGAGGTTTGCTGTTTTTCTTTTCCTCACCATTTTGATATTCTTTATTCTGGTCATTTAATATTGCATTCACATTTCAAATAGTTTCAATTTTCTTTTAAATTTTTTTCTTATATATGTTCCCTTCAGTTTATTTGATATTTAAAATAATTTAAAATAATTTTTAGTTTTTCTAATTTCTAATTAGAAAATTTTCTAATTTTCTAATTTTCTAATTTCCATTTTTCAGCCCTTAGCCATATGTGGTTATGAAGCATTTTAAATGTACTATAAATACTGAATAGAGATGTACTATAAATAAAAAATATTCATCAGATTTTGAAGACTTTCTATGAGAAAAAAATATAAAATAATAGTATCTTATGTCAGCTATTTAAAATAACATTTAGATATACCAGACAAAAGTAAAGTATTTAAATTAATGTCCCTTTATTTTTTTATTTGTTCTAATTAGTTAATCATGACAGTAGAATGCATTTTTACACACTGTACATAAATGAAGTATAACTTCTCTTTCTTCTGGTTGTACGTGATGTAGAATCATACCAAGTGTGTATTCATACATATATATACAAGTGTATATATATACAAGTGTATATTCATACATAGGGTACTAATGTCTGATTCATTGAACTATCCTTACTATCCCCATACCTCCTCCCCTTTCTTCACTCCCTTCTGCCTAATCCAAAGTACCTCTATTTTTCCCTAGCCACTCCCCCTGCCTTATTATGAATTAGCTTCCACATATCAGAGAAAACGTTTGGTCTTTGCTTTTGGGGGATTGGCTTATTTCACTTAGCATGATATTCTCTAGCTCCATCCATTTACCTACAAATGCCATAATTTCATTCTTCTTTAAGGTTGAGTAATATTCCATTGTATATATAGATGAATCTTTATCCATTCATCTATTGAAAAGCATCTAGGTTGTGAATTGAGCTGCTATAAACATTGATGTGGCTGTGTCACTTAGTATGCTGATTTTAAGTCCTTTTGATATAAACTGAGGAATCTGATAGCTGAGTCAAATGGTGGTTTCATTTCAAGTTTTCTGAGGAATCTCCATACTACTTTCCAGAGTTGTTGCACCAATTTGCAGTCCCACCAGCAATGTATGAGTATGCCTTTTCCCCATATCTTTGCCAACATGTATTATTACTTGTATTCTTAATAATTGCCATTCTGACTGAAGTGGGATGAAATCTAAGTAGTTTTGATTTGCATTTCTCTAATTGCTAGAGATGTGAACAGTCTTTCATATATGTATTAACCAATTGTATTTCTTCTTGAAGTCTCTGTTCAGTTCCTTAGCTGAAGGGTTGTTTTTTTTTTGGTTTTGAGTTCTTTATATATCCTGGAGATTGATACATCACTTTCCCACCCCCCCTTTTTTTAACATGGCTACTAGAAAATTTTAAATTACCTATATGGTTTACTTTCAGGGCTTCCATTCTTTTTCTCTTAGACCATGCTGGTCTAGCTAGTATGAAGAAGTGATGTTGCTTTCTTGGGAAATGGTCATAATATAAACTATTTAATCAGACAGATTGTGTACATTGAAAGAAATGGATTTCTGTACCTGGTTTCTAATTTTTTATCTTTTTAGTTATTAACAAATTTCAAGGTGCTAGGTTTGTGGCTCAGAAGTAGAGCTCTCATCTTGCACATTCGAGGCACTGGGTTCGATCCTCAGCACCACATAAAAATAAATAAATAAAATAAAGGTATTGTGTCCAGTTATAACTAAGAAAAAAATACTTTAACAACTTAAAAACTTATTTTAATACTAACTGCAGTTACAGAATATTTAGAAATAATTGACTCAGAAAAAAACTAAATTAAAAAATAGTCTTCTCCAAATTATCTATTCCCAGAAACTACAACGTTTAGATAGTCTATGGGACATCATAAAATAATGGTTGGTTGAGGTTTAATGTATTTCTGGAGAAACCATCTTAACAGCAAGGATTTTTCTTAGTGTACCCTTTTAACTAGTTGTTAAAAGTTATTAGTTTTAAGCTTAAGAATAATAGGACATTCCAAAACTTACCAGATGAAACAATTAGGTGGCTATATCTTATTTATATTCCTTTCTTTTCTCTAAAGCATCTTGAGAAAAAAATTCCTTAAGTGATTCCTTTCATTCACAAATTGCTGCAAACAAACATTGACCTCTAGTGAATAATTTTCTAAATAGGAAAATCTTTGTTCTGATCTTTTTTTTTTTTTTTTTTTTAAAGTCTGACAACAGTTTCAAGAAGGGAAACAGCCAGTAACTCTCTTTCTTGCCAAGTCCGGTTTCTTCCTACCTTTTCTCTTTTTTTATAGCCTTTCACATTTTTTTGAGTTGATTATGTTAGGTTTTCTGCCTTACAGTTCCCCGAGAGATATTAAGCCCCAAACTAAAGCACTAAAAGAAGGTGCACTTTTCCATCTTTAAAAATTAATCTATTGTATTTATTTCACAAACTCAAACAGTCTTATTTAAAAAAAAAAAAGAAGGAAGGAAAGAAATATTGAAGGTCTGCATTTCAATAGTTACTATCAGTTATTGCATTTTTTGAGTGAATTAGGACTAAGATTTTCAGAAGACTGTTTTTGTGAGTAGCCGTGGACTAAATAATTAAGGTTTATGTAAATTACCCTTATCATTCCTTCTACTTTCAGAATAGAAAATGTTGGGGAGAAAGAAAATATAATTTAAGTAAATGTCTTTTATTGGCTGTCTTACTTGAAATATTTTTTTCTGGTGTGTGTGTGTCGTATATACAGTGGAACATGATCTGGATCAAATTGACTACATTGACAGCTGTACTGCAGAGGAAGAAGAGGATGAGGTGAAACGGTCCAAGGGACTGGACTCAGAGAGCCTCAGTTCACAGTTTATGGCATATATTGAACAACGGCGAGTCTCTCATGAGGTAGTATTACTTTCCCCTAGTAAGAACAATTAAGGTAGTATAATTTTCTATCATATCAGTGATTTGTTTGTTTAGCCCTAATTATTGTATAATGTTCACTTCTGATTTTAGTCCTAAATTTTTCAGATTTATTCAGAAAATCAGACAATATTCTTAGGTAGGATTTAGGTTTGTTTTTCAAATAAGGAGACAGATTTTGTAATTTTGAAGAAGGACTAAAAGGGTTCCTAAGAGTAGCCTAAGGCCTTTGAAGAAAACACAAAGGAATGTGATGCTTTTCAATGTTTTTAGGATTTCTAGTGAGTCTTTGTTTTTTGCTTTTTTTATTGTTATTAACTGAAAAATCATAATTTGATTGATCACTAATTAAGAATTACACCACAGATTTAACTTCTGAGGCAATATACAACTTGCCCATAGAATTTTTATTATAAACTTAAAATTATTGAAGCTTTTAAATTAACAGAATATAAATTGTTTGCTATTAAAATTCTTGGGTGTCTCTTATGGTAGAGTGTTGAATTGCCTTAGAAAACAAATGAGCATTCAGCCCACTGCAGAATCTTTGCCAGTTCCCCAAGGGTCTCAAGTAGAATAGCATTCTTCAGTATATCTAGTCAGCGTAATAAAATGGCTCTATTTGGGTGGATGTGATGTCGATGTCTGGAGTTCATCGCAGGCTCTGAGCAGGGGTTATTTGGGAAACAGTTGGGGCCTTTTTGGAGAATGATGTATTTAATCACTTTTAAGTGGGGCTTGTTGTAGAGTGATATTATCATCTTTAGAAAGAATCCTTTGGTTTTCCTATTTGAAAGCTTTTGAACACAATATTTTTTGTTCAGAGGATACTCTTGCACTTAAAGTTGAATAAAGTTATATAAGTCAAATCTTATAGCCCAGAGATAGCACTAGACCAGGTGATTAATGAAGTGCGTGTGATTTAGGCTATTAACATCTCTGCTGGAATAAAAGCTACTTTACAATAAAAGTAAAATTAATAATTTCACATTATACTCTTTAAAGAAAACCTTTTTCTTTTCTTGTGATCCTCTTTGATCACTGTATGGTTAATTAGGCTACAAAAGTATCTCCACTAAAACTGAAAACACTACTACACTACTCTGAAAAAATAAGCTACCATTTCTTTAATTCATTTTATTGGTTCTTTGTAATTGGTTTTAAATTCCACCTACTTACTATATATGGTAGTTTTCAATGATTGTATATCATAAGGTTCTTTATGACTTGTTTCATAAATCTTTCTAAAATTTGATGATCTGTAAAATTATGATGAAGCAGTATTATTTTAGATGGCATAACAACCAGTGAAGATATGTCTTTTTGTATTCCTGTATACTATATTTTTAAAAGATTGCTTAAAAAATTTAAGTTTAAGAAACAAGCTATTTGAAATGTTAAAACATTTTGCTGTTATCTAATTTTATTAAAATTCTTCTCACATATATAGATCAACCCTGCCTGAACAGCATATGACATATACTTATTTTTTAAATTAGATTAATGTCACATTCATTCTTTTATGGAAATTCAATGAACCTCTCACAGTAATTTTAGATAATTGCAATATCATAAAACCAGGGTGGTAAGTCACCGATATAGCATCTTTGGAGAGATGTTTGTTTCTTAAAAAATGACGTAGTCATCCAGGCTCGATGGTGCCTGCCTATATAGTCCCAGTGACTCAGGAGGCTGAGATGAGAGGATCACAAGTTCAGTCCTAGCCTTGGGAACTTAGTAAGGCCCTCAGCAATTTAGCAAGACTCTGTCTGATAATAAAAAATAAAAAAGATTAGGGATGTAGCATCCCTGGTTAATTCCCCCACAAAGTGACAGTAATAAAATCAGAGTAATTATTTTCTTATTAGGGTTTCAGAATTGTAATTCATTCTATATGCCCTAACATTAAAGCAGTCACCTTTTAACCCTTTGGAGTAAATTACCAAAGAGGATTTTCTAGTTACGTGTAGATATATCACACGTAATTTCATGGAGGTAGAATATACTATATTGTGTTAAACTATACTGAAGTAGTTTGACATTTGATTTTTAGTTATCTTTTTTGGAGAAGTTGTTTTCTTAGTTTTCCCTTGAAGAATACCCCTTTTGATGACTTTTGGTGTTGACACAAGATTGTATTGCTTCTGTAGATTCTCATTCAACATATAATATACTGTGATAATCTTTAAACTTCTTGCCTTTGGCTTATAATTTTATTTTTCAGTGTGTGATCCAGCTTAATTTTTCTTAGTAATACTTTTTGAAAATGACCTTAAGTTCAGTTGCCACTATTTCTCTTTTAATTAATATTGTATTTTACCTTAAAGAGAATTTACTTTTTTGTTTTATTTATTTATTTACTTACTTACTTATTTATTTTAGTATTGGGGATTGAACTATTCGGGGACACTCAGCCACTGAGCCACATTTCCAGCCATATTTTGTATTTTATTTAAAGACAGGGTTTCATAAGTTGTTTAGCACCTCACTTTTGCTAAGGCTGTCTTTGAACCTGAGATTCTCTTGCCTCAGCCTCCCAAGCCACTGGGATTACAGGCATGCACCACCACGCCTGGCAGTATTTTATCTTGATATACATCAGCATCCCCAGAACTATTTGTAAAACTAAGATAAGAGACAGTTATGGTAGTGAAAAAGTAAAGAGACAATCTACCCAGTGAATTCCCTATTACTACAAATGTTCATAGAAACTTGGTTAATGTTGGGGTGGGATAGATAGAAATTTCTGTCCTGGCTGGGCACAGCTGAGGCAGGAGGATCATGAGTTCAAAGCCAGCCTCAGCAGCACTTAGCAATTCAGTGAGACCTTGTCTCTAAATAAAATATGTTTTTAAAAAGGACTGGGGTTGTGGTTCAGTGGTTAAGCACCCCTGGGTTCAATCCCATTTTTTTACCAAAAAAAAAAAAAGAAAAAGATAATTTGTGTCCTGGGTAGAAGCTTGTATTATATGACCTCTAAGATTCTTTCTTATCATTCAGTAAATATTAGTGGTTTTGGTCACTATAATTTATATAATATAGCAAGTAGGAAATCTTTTTTAGATATATTATATATTGTGAATATTTCATCAAAAATATGCAAGTACTCTAGCGCTTTCAGAAAGTTTACATTTTAAGATTCTGTTGAAATTATTTTTACTGTAATGCACAAATCCCTAAAAAGTTGAATGTGAATGGTGTAATCACTGTATTTTGGATACACGTTAAATTGATTTATTTATCCTATTTTTGATTTAGTGTTCACCAGTAAAGACAAGTGCCATTAGGGAGTTTCAAAAAACAGAAGACATGAGAAGATGTTTACATCAAAACAGGTTTGAAAAAGCAATTCTATTTACTTCTTTCTGTCTTAAAACTCAGTGATAAGAGTGAAGTAATTTTGGTTTTCCCCTAGATGCATGTATAATGAAGACCTTTAGGTATTGTGTGTTTTAGAGACCATGTATTTAAAATGATGACAGTGTTCTTTTGTGCTCCTGCTATTAAGAAAAAAGGTAAAATTGATTTATTAATTCTGAAATCAGGTCACCTGAACTATAGCAGTACAAGTAATTAATTTGAAGATACTTAAGAGCTTTAAGATTGTTGTGTTGATAATGTATGGATTCATGTATAAATAGGGCTTAAAGATTTTTTTAACTTAAATTTTGACTAGATAACAGGGACAGATATAATGATACGTATTCTTATTCCTATCTTGATCAGTATGATCTTTCTACTACACTTAGTACCTATTTCTAAAATGAGCTTGATTGTTTAGAATGCTGCTTCTCATCCTTGAATTCCAAAAGCTTTCTTCCCATAAACTGTATGACAGTAGCTGAAATTTTTCCAGTAGTTGGTTCTTTCCCTCTTCTGTTTTTATGAAGTCTTTTCTTTTCCCTACTTTTTTTTTTTTTGGTGCATTATAATTTACATACTGATGGGATTTGTTGTTACATATTTGTACATGCACACAGTACACAATATAACAATATGATTTGGCCAGTGTCATGATGAAGTCTTAAAGCAGCATCCCCAACCTTTTTTTTTTTTGAAACAGGATCTCACTAAGCTGCCTTATGAGATCAGGATCTCGAATTTAGCAGTCCATCTGCCTCACTGAGTTACTGAGGCTGGTCTTTAGCAGTCCTCCTGCCTTAGCCTCCTGAGTTGCTGGGATTATAGGCTTGTGCCACCAAGCCTGGCTGATATGCCTATTTTTAAATGACTGTAAATTTACTACATAGAAACTGTTGTACATAGTTCTTTACGCTTGAGTGGTTATTAATGTTATCTCAGGGACTGTGATATATATGAATTAAAGAAAATGTAGAAAGAACAATGAAAGAAAAAAAATCTCATAACTTGGCTTAGTTAAATTTTATATGCTTTGACATTTATCTCAGAATAGCTTTTTAGTTACTATATGTTCTTATACCAAGGGTATGGTCTTTGAGAATCCGGTTTTATGCACAGGTTTCCTATTAACATTTCCTCACCTTGGGCAGACCTAAGTTTTATCTCCCATCCCTCTCACCTTCTATGTCCATCATAGGTGAGGCTAAAGATCAGGATTTAATAGAGACCCTCAAGGTAAAAGTCAGCTGTTTTACTCAGTTACTTTATGTATTAGTTTTGTCTTGTATCTATTAAGTTTAGCAGCTTAAAACACCCATTTATTTTATCACAGTTCTATAGGATAGAATTCTAGGCTAGCTTGCATAACTTTTCTGCTTAGAATCTTTAAAGACCAAAGTCAAGGTGTTGACTGGCCTAAGCCATTTATTACTATATGGCTTACATTTAAATTTTTTGAACTGCATATGAAATCCAAATACTGTATTATTTAGTCATTTGATTAAATTTCAAAGCCAACTCACTAAAGACAAAGAAAATTGCCTTTCATCATTTACTAATAAAGTACCATTTCTAGGGTCAATGGCCTTCATCAGTAGTCACCTTCCTTTGGTGAGGGGATTTTATCCTGTGTGGAGAGGATGAAATATCTTCTTCAGTTTCAGACCCCAAAAGTTCATGATCTCCTTCCTGGGATCCTATGTCTCTACCAGTTCCCAGAGAAAATTATTCCATATTATACCATACTAAATACCATTTACATACCACTAGCAGCAGGACAATCAGCAACATGGCCACAAACACCAGCAGGGTCAGCCTGAGGTGCCACATCTTGGGTGGAAGGTGGTCCCCTTAAGTTTGTGGGTGTAGGTTGCAGTGAACGGGTACATGCCCTAAATTTGTATCTGGAGACTCTGGAGAAGAATCCACTTACAAGCTTGTACATGTTGTTGACAGAATGCAATTCATGTAGTTATAGACTAAGGACCTTGTTACCTTGCTGCTATCTGTCAGGAATTGTTCTAAATATAAAGTCCACCCACATTTCTTGGTTTGTGGCCCCCTCCATGTTCAAGAAGCAATGGTGGGCTAAATCTTCTCACATTTTAAGTCTTTCTGACTTTCCTTTCTGCCCATCTCATAAACTTTTGGCTTCTTTTGCTTTAGGGACTCATGATTACATTAGGTCCACCCAGATAATCTCCCAATTTTAAGGTCAACTGATTAGTAACCTCAGTTTCTTCTGTAAAGACCCCTCTTCTGCCGCATTCTGACTAGGCACAAAATCATGAGCCACTCACACCTTATAGATTCAAACAGCAACTCTTTATTCTCCAACTGTCACCAGTACTCTACACACAGGTTCTGGGCAAAATTCATGTACTCCACCAGGCTCTGAATCCCAAATACTTTCTGAATCCCGCGAGAACTCAACAGGAACTTAAGGAGCAGGCGGGCACTTGAGGCAGCAGAATACGCCCTATTCCCAGCAGGGTACACCTTAAACCCGGAACCACCCTAAACCCAAGGAGCAGGATACTCCCTATTCCCAGCAGGATCCTCCCTAAACCCAGATCCACCCTGGTCCTTGAGCAGGGTCACCTTTCTCATGCAATGTCACTGCAAATGACCTGGGTTTAATATGGAGAGTCCTTCCTCTAAGCAACATTGGGTAGGCTACAAAGAAATTGCAATGCGTCATTCCTACTTAGCAATGGCTCTCAGCACTCTTCCATATAATTCAGCATGCTCATTGGAATAAGACATGGGGGCTGAGTCTACCTAATACTATTTAATCCAAAGTTTCTATTTTAATTCTCTTTTAGAATCTAGTATTCTTTTTTTCATGGTACCTTAGCAATGTATTTAGCAATATATTTTAAATATTACTTTCAGCATTGTAGTTGTTTCCATTGGAAGAGTCATTCAAGGTATTTAGTCAGACCTAATGCTAGAAATGAAATCCATAATAACTTCTTAATTGGATATTTCAAATCACTAAAGTCTAATGTAGTCCTTGAAAAAGAATTTCATACTTTAACTCCAGTTACCAGTTAAACTCTAAGATCAATATATATTTCATTTGTTTATATAGCAAATGTTTGTTAAATATCTACTATGTGCCAGGTACTTTTCTGGGTGTGGGGATTTATTTATGAACATCAGTCACAATTCCTTCCATGAGCTTACATTCAGTTGGAATAATGAATAAGAATCTAGAAATACGCAATCACCTCAAAATGCCTGACAACTCTCTCAGGCTCACAAGACTTGTATGGTACTTGGATAATATGTTAACAAAAAGAATCTGTCTCAGCAGTCTGACAGCTTCAAAGACGCAAAGGAATTCAGTCAGTTAACAAATTGCTACTTGCCCATTCTCATCCTGGCTCTCTGCTAGTGAACTGACAAAGAAAGTTGCTTACTTGGTTTTGTCTCTCAATTCCCTTCCTTTCCCCTCATCCACCAAGCTCCTCTCCTCTTTATATACCCCCAGCCTACCTCCTGAGGTTAGGAAAGTTTAAATAGAAAGTTTAGAAAATTGGTGAGTGTTTTATAGTTATTTGCCAAGATAGATTATGTAACTTTGAATTTGAAGCTAGCAAAAATTATCATTTTTTAATTATCAAAATATCATTTTTTAAAAAAAGACTGTTTATAATTTGAATAGCATTTTAATGTAGGAGAGATGCCAATAATGGGCTGGGTCCTGTAAAGTTTATTAATTTTTGTAAGAAGCGATATGAAAGTAAAGAATATTTGGGCTAAGCCTGGAAGTTTTTTGTCTCGAGTATATTAAAGGTTAAAAAAAAAAAACTACTCACATTAAGTGATTTTACAAAGAGAACAATTCAAAATCTGCCTTATAAAGTTTGGATTTACTTAGCTCAAGTTACAAGATTTAAAGGATGAATGTTTTACCTGCATTTTTGTTTCTTATGTGCCAATATTCCATTCTTTTGGGAGACAATGCCAGTGCCACTCATTCAAATAGTATTTCTTGAGCACTACAATGATTCTGGCTCTGTTCTAGGTCCCTGATATTTTGGAGTTTTCCTTTTAGTAGATGTAGACAAATATATGTTACAAATACATGTCTGGCCTTGCTAAGTGCTATAAAGAAAAATAAAACGGACTGAAAGAGATAATAGTGTCAAGGTGACAGGAAAGTGAAAGTAATAATGTATTATTAGGTGATGCTATTTCAGCAGAAATCTGACAGTGTCATGAAGCAAGCACCATGGCTATCAAGGGTAGAAACTTCTAGGCCAGACCCTGAGGCAAGCACATACTTGGTAAATTTAAGAAACACCAAGGAGTCTGAACAAGGCAGGACAGGTTTGGGGTGGATGATGATATTTAAAGAAGTGGAGAGAATTAGGGCTTGAACAACTAGCAAAAGAAACTGAGGAGTGGTCATAAGGATAGAAGAGAGGGTTGTCTCAGAGGCTAAATGAAGAGAGTGATTTAAATAGTAAAAAAAAAAAAAAAAAAAAAAAGGCAAACTACTGATAGGTTCAGTAAGGTAAAAACTAGGACATAAATATTAGATTTGGGAATGTTTATCATTGGCAAATTTGGGAGCTAAAAGAGCAGGTCAGTGAAGTTAAAAACAGGATTCATTTTGGAGTGGGAATAAAATAAATTGATGAGATAAAATGAAGACATGGATTTTTAAAGAATTTTGGACTAGGCACAGTGGCACACACCTGTAATCCCAGCGACCCAGGAGACTGAGGCAGGAGGATCTGGAGTTCAAAACCAGTCTCAGCAAAAGCAAGGCACTAAGCAACTCAGTGAGACTCTGTCTCTAAATAAAATACAAAATAGGGCTGGGGATGTGGCTCAGTGGTCAAGTGCCCGTGAGTTCAATCCCTGATACACACATGCACACACAGGCACACACACTCTCACACACACACACACAAAAAAAAACATTGTATAACATAGTGCTAAATTTATGGTACATAAACATTCTTAGAATGGGTTTGTTTGGCTCTTTCTGTGTTTTGGTCCAGTTCATCTACACATGGTCAATAAAAGCCACAGGAAACTTTAGCAGTGAAATTAGTAATCCAAAGACAAAGGTAGCTAATTCCTGTTTTTATAAATATATAGTCATTAGAATATACTTTTATGAGTTGTGAATACATGCAGTATCTTATTTAATTTTCATAGCATCTTACTGAGGATACATAATTATCCTCATTTTTTATAAACGAGAAAGTTGAGGCTCAAGGAAGTTTAATAACTTTAAACTAATAACTGATTCATTGAATTAGGCCAAACCTTGGAGATTTGTGTAGGTTTGTGTGAATGGTAGATTATTCCCATTGCCTCTGTTATTTTATCAGAGAGTCAGCATCTCAGGCACAAGTCTAGGCAGCTAGGTAAAGCAAGATGTCCACCTGCCCAATAAGCAGGAAATTATGAGCTTATAGTCATTTATATTACCAGCTCCAGCTCCATCAGTGCTTAAGAACAGCTTCTACTGCAGTATGCTACAATACTTCTGCCACTCAACAAGTTTCATTTAAAAAAAAAAGTGTATGGGGGGGAATGTTGTGAATACCTCAAAGTTTTGGAACCAATATTTTTTAAAAAGTGAGAAAAGAACAATAATAATGTAGCTTAAGTTTTAGTTCATATATATATATATATATATATATATATATATATATGTGTCTATCTATTTATATATGTATGTATGTTATGATACACACACACATATATATTTTTTGATACTGTGGATTGAACTCGGGCACTCAACTGCTGAGCCACATCCCCAGTATTTTATTTAGAGACAGGGTCTCCCTGAGTTGCTTAGCACCTCATTGCTGAGGCTGGCTTTGAACTCCAGATCCTCCTGCCTGAGCCTCCCAAGCCACTGGGATTACAGGTGTGTGCCACCATGCCTGGTAGTTCACTTATATATTTTTAAAATTCAGAAAACTGTAAGATAGACCAGTATTGCTCAACAAAGTATACAGCACCACTCCCAAGAGGATTCTTGGAAATGTATTTATATATTGTGGGAATTGGTTGCCAAAATGAGCTGCAGGTGATACTGGCAGGCTTTAAGGCTAAACTACCTATAATGTGCAGGGCGATATTTTACCAAAAAAAAAAAAAGATCCTATTTGAAAAGTAGGAGATGCTTATATTGGAGAACGTGTTCATAGATTAAAAAAAAAAAAAAAAAAGTCATGCAACATGAAGATCATGGCAACACTGAGGAATAACAAAGCTGTAATGGCCCAACATTACCACCTGGTGATTGGTATGGAAGAACTGGGTCATTCTCAGATTCAGATATCTTCTTTACTACCATTTGCATATGCCAGGCTTCCCTGTTCATCTCCATCTTTAACTTTCACAGCCATCACAGGAGTAATGAAAACTATTAGTGCTTTGAAGATTTGTTTTTATTTCTCTGATTGCATACTTATTTCAGTGCATTTAAATCACCCTGACAGGGTAATAATTATTTCAGATTTCAGGTACTAAATGTTGGAAAGTCATTACTCCAACATTTTTAGTTTCAGGCACAAAAATGAGTTACAGAGACTTAAGACACTAAATCTGGTTCAGAAAAAGGGTAAATATCAGAGTATAATAATTAGCATTAATAACACTAAGAGGCAGATAGTACCTGTTATTTTATATGTATATCTTTTAGTTGTAGATGGACATAATACCTTTATTTTATTTTATTTTTTTAATGTGGTGCCAGGGATCAAACCCAGTGCTTCATGCGTGCTAGGCAAGCACTCCACCACTGAGCTGCAACCCCAGCCCCAGTATTTGTTGTTTTTAAGTATTAAATAGAGCTTCATCTTTTTCTTAAGAATAAAAGTCAACAGAATCTTTATTTTTGTTATTAAAATTTTTTGTCAGTTGAAAATAAGTATAGAAGTGCTTTACAAGTACAGTTCCCAGGTTTTGTAGTATTCCAGATTTCTGTTGATAAAATGGCTTTGTATATAAAAGGATCTCAATTTACATGTATCTTGTTCTGATCATAGGAGGAAAGAAGATAATAGTTGTATGTGTCATAAAGAAATGATACCATTTGAAAAGTGATCCCAACTAGCTGTTTGTCAGTATCGTCTGACACTGACAGTTGTTAACTAGCTGTAGAATAATCAGTGATACCATCACATGAAATATGAGTTGGAGACATTAGTTATTTCTGTGGTTAAATTTAATGACTTAGTCTTAAGTTTACAAAATGCAGTTACTCTTTCAGTGCTACCTAAACATCTTACTGATATAACAGAAAGATACAGTAATGATAAACATTTCACTTGTCCCTTATGTGTCTGTATCAAAGAATTTTTCCTTTTCTTTTTTTTTTTTTTTTTTGGATCAGGGTTCCAGTTGAGCCATCTTCTCACTTATCACTATCACCAAGTCACAATCAGGTAAATATAAGCAGATTTATTTATTTATGTTTCAACTTTGATTTTTAAAAACTAAAATGGAGTACTTAAATTGCCATTAGAGTAACTAACTGTGGCAAAATGGATAGCACATTGGACTTCTAGCCAAACCTGCAGTGGCCATTAAATTGCCATTAAATTGTGCACTCTTGTACGCTGTCTTCTTGGTCAGATAACACAACATGCACATGGTATTTGCTGTTTTTCAGGCACCAGACAGAAAATGAAACTTTATCTACAGTAATAGCTTTATAGTAGGTGTAAGAAAGTGCAAAGATAGAAAAGATTAGGAATAAACACATTGAAAAAAAATGCTGGGTGACTGCAAAGTTACTTAAATTAACATTATTTGCCTGTATTGATAGGGAATCTTGATAAGTTGATTCTCATCCCCACTTGCATGTACAAAATGATACCTTTGTTGCAGCTGTCATATACAGACTTGGAACTTCATCGGAGAAAAGAACAATTAGTAGAGCGCACTAGGAGAGAAGCACAGCTTGCTGCCCTGCAATATGAGGAGGAGAAAATAAGGACTAAGCAGATTCAGAGAGATGCTGTCCTGGATTTTGTCAAGGTGAGTCATTGGAATTCATTGACTGATACTCTTAAAGTTTCTTAGAAGTGCTTATTTGTTCTGTGGAGACTGTCAGTTTTCTTTTTTTTTTTTTTTAAGTATGTATTTATTTTTGGAGTTGTAGATGGACAGAATGCCTTTATTTTATCTATTTATTTTTATGTAGTGCTAAAAATCCAACCCCGTGTCTCACAAGTGCTAGGCAAGCTCTCTGAGCTACAGCCCCAGCCCTGTCAGTTTTTATTGTCTTAATTAAAACATCAATTTTTTTTCTCTTATTGTAAGGAATCTTGAGTAAATAGAGTGACTGTCTCCCCTAGTAGTGAGTAATTATAAGATAATAGAAATGATGATCTTCCTTTTTAACAATAATTGCTTCCTCTTAATTAGCACACTGCTATTGGACATATCACTTTACTATCCAGCTTTCTTTGATCTCTAGAGTCATAGTAAAGATCAGTAAGATCATAAAACTGAAAGTGCTGGGTAAACTGTAAAAGTGCCATGCAAGCATGAAATCTCATTGTCCAAACCTCTCTCCTACTTCTTCACTCTAGTAAATATACCAAAAATTTGCTAAACTCACAGGCTTCATTTTTTATAATCATCTTTTTAAAATTTAATTTTTAAGAATCAAACCCAGTGCCTCACATGCTAAGCAAGCACTCTACCACTAATCTACAGCCCCAGCCCTTTATAATCATCTGTGATTCTTTCCCTTTCTTCCCCACATCCACTCAGTAACCCCAGTTAATGTTTCTTAACATTTTGTAGCCTCTGTTGTAGCCTATGAATTTTGATCATCTTATTTTATTTGTGTGATTTATCTTTTCATTCTAAAATTGCTTTGTAATTTTCTTCATAATTAATTGTAATTTTGTAAGCTTAATATATTTCTCTCTCATGTTCCTGCAAATTACACAGAGATAAGAACCATGTCTTTTTTACTTAGTTGCTATATCCCTAAAACTTAGCAGTTCTGAACCCACAGAAAAGTTCAATAGATATTTGTTAAATGAATGAATCATTCTTATCTTCTAAAAGCTTTCTTTCCTTTGTTTGATAAGTTTAACCAAAGACCACCTTTTAAAGTACTGTACTCATCTATTTTACTGTTTAACCTGATATTTTTGCTTCCCCCCCCCAAATATAACAAGCCCATAATGATGATCTTTAGCTCTTTTCTCACCTGATTCTTCTTTATCTGAAAAGTTCCAGTGCCTAATATTTGCTGTCAAAATTAAGTCAGATAGTTGGGTGCTGAGGCACATGACTGTAATGCCAGCAGCTAGGGAGACTAAGGCAGGAGGATCACGAGTTCAAAGCCAGCCTCAGCAACTTAGCAAGGCCCTAAGCAACTCAGAGAGACGCTGTCTCCAAACAAAATATAAAAAGGACTGGGGATGTGGCTTAGTGGTTGAGAGCTCCTAGATTCAATCCCCAGTACTAAATAATAAGAAAAAGAAGAAGAAGAAGAAGTCACATTGTTTGACCAATGGCAAAAAAAAAAAAAATTAAATTAATATTCTTCCAAATAGAACTTTATGGAGCTCTGAAAAGTTATCCCAACTAACTCAGTCCTTCTTTCCCTTCTATCTATCCTGAGATGTCTCTTCTTTTTAGTCCTTTTAAAACTAATCAAAATTATTTATCGGTTTATTTATTTATTTATTTTTATGTGGTGCTGAGCATTGAACCCAGTGCCTCACACGTGCCAGGCAAGCACTCTACCACCAAGCCACAACTGCAACCCTGGTTTATTTAATTTTTGTAATGGAAAAGATGAGAGTATTCATCATGTTTCACAGACAAGGAATCTGCAAGTCTAGGGAAATTAAGCCATGTAATTACATACAATTAATTCATTTTCATAGTCAGAAGGCTTTAGTCTAAAGCCTAACTTGTTCATTTATTCATTCACTGACTTGATGATAGATCCTTATAGAATGCTATTATGTACCTGTATAAGCAATAAAAAAATGTTTAATATACAAGTTATGCCCACCAGACACAGCTTAGATCTTATTAGGGGAAAACAAATATATACATAAAACAGAAAATAAGATAGCTTATAATAAAAAGTACTAGTTTTGTATCAAAGACAAAGGAGAAATTAGAAAACAAGTATCAGAATTGACCTCAGAAGGAAGTGACAAGGGACTTAGAAGAATGAATGGGTAGCCAGGAAGAAAAGAATGGATGATGGTCTAAAGATGAGTTTATTCTGTGTTGCAAGAATTTATGAATAGGTCATGAGCTAGGAATGAGCTTTATTAAGTTATATATTTAAAATAATGGCATTTGCCAGGCGTGGTGGCACATATCTGTAATAACCCCAGCTACTTGGGAGGCTGAGAGGCTGAAACAAGAGGATTGCAAATTTAAGGCCAGCCTGGGCAACTTAGTGAGACCCTGTCTCAAAATGAAAAGGGTGGGGATGTAGATCAGTTGTAAAGTGCCCCTGAATTCAATCTCTAGTACCAAAACAACAAGAGTAATAATGGCACTTAAGCAGAGTACCAGCTTGGTTCGAGTTCTTATTGAAGACCAATAGAAAAAATGAATTGGTGAGATGGTAAAGATGATGCTGATGATACTTCCTAAATTTACTGAATGATCACTATTTACCCCACATACTGTTTCAAGCACTTATATTAACTCCTTTGGTCCTCCCAGTAGTCTAATAAGGTAAGTACTAGGATATTCTCTTTTTATGCTCAGGGAGGATAACAATTTGCCTAAGATTAAGGTCAAATACTCTGCTAGTAAGCCACAGAGCAAGAATGCTAGTAAGCAGACTGGCTCCAGACCCTACTCTGACCATAATGCTATACTGCCCCTCAATAATTGATCATTGCTAACACATACTATACCCTAGGTGCTATTCTATGCATTTTTCATAAATTTACTCAATTTTAGCTTTGCTTGTTGTAGAAGTTACCTAGCTAGTAAAAGATAAATAATTACACTACAGATGGTCATGATTAAATGTCAAATTAAATCATAATCTAATTTAGGCAGAAGAGAACAATTCTAAGTTCTTAAGTAGGAGAAAAGCAAAAAAAAATATAAATACTTCTGAAAAACTAGTCTACTCATGTTAGAACAGGTTAGGAAGAAAGAGCTAGAAGGAAGAAATAAAATGGTAATTGCATTAATTAAGAAAATGGTGCAAAGTGAGGACATAAAACTAGAAGATTTCTAAGGTGACAGAGGGTTGACAGAGTTACATAGTGACATGAGTTTAGAATCAGAAATATCTGAATTTGAGTCCAACTTTGTCCTTTGTATGTTATGTGCTTGACTTTTGGAAAGTTATTGAACTATTCTGTACCTTTTGTTTCTTATAATATTTAATTATAAAGTGTTAACATTCAGAATTATGATAGATATACCTAATATTTTATACTCTACTACGGTGGATTTTGTCCGGTAAGGGGTGTTGAACCCAGGAACACTCTACCACTGAGCTACATTCCCATTTTTTATTTTGAGACAGGGTCTTGCTAAATTGCCCAGGCTGGCCTTGAACTTACCATTCTCCTGCCTCAGCCTCACAAGTAGCTGGGATTACAGGTGTGCACCACCACACAGAGCACTACAGTGGATTTTTTTTTTCATGGTTCTGGGGATTGAACTCAGGCCTTGTGCATGTGAGGCAAGCACTCTACCAACTGAGCTATATCCCCAGCCCTACAGTGAATTTTATCAAGAGGCATTTCAAAAGAAGCATTTTTATACTTTGCACAATAGATATGTAGTGATAAATGATGAATAAATCATGAAGATGAATGAAGAAAAGAAGGTTCCAAAGCAAAGTTTTGAGACTAAATGAAAGGTTTTAGTGGGAATCTAGCATGTGGGGAGTATGTAGGATTTGAGGTTAGAAGAAAGGTATAAATTTGTACTTGCCCCATAAGCTCTTTGCTCAGTTTCCTCATCTCTGAATTATGGTTTTTGTTTATTTCACAGAATAAGAAAAGTCACTTGAGAAAACTGTGTGTAAGAACACATTGTAAAACACTGAATACACTGATATTGTTATTATTTGTGATAATAACAGAAATGAACAAATTGGGGGGAAATAGGTATGCTAAATAGTGAATTTGTTTTTGTATATGTTGATAATGCAATGACATTGAGTTTCCAAGTAGAGTTTGAATAAGCAATTGAAAATGTCTGAGACTTAGCTAATAGAAAATTCAAGTTGTCAGTATTAGCATGATATTTAAAGCCATTAGAGAAGAAGGATTGAGTTCATATTGAGAGAATATTGAAAGAATATAATGGCACAATGTAGGTATACATAAAGTTTCAAAATTTTTTTTCTTTTTTAAATACTGATAGAAATATGATAGTATAGTTTGTTGTTTTTCTTCATTTAAATTGTAAAATATTTAAGGTAGGATGTAACATAAAGCGTTATATGTAAAAAATAAGGAAATTACTATAATTGTTTTAGTAAATACAGTTTACCATTTCAAATATGTGTTCCAGATTCTGACCAACTTTCTTTTTTTGTGGGGGTTTGGGGCATGTAGCAAAAAGCATCACAAAGTCCACAAAAGCAACAACCTCCCACAGATGGTGAGGTAAGTCTATATAATTACTTTGGGGAAGGGATTTATTATTTTTATAGTGGAAATGAAATGTTTTGAAGTGATTATCATTCTTTCAGTGATCAGAATATTGCCTTTTTTCTTTTTTTCCATCACAAAATTGTACTTAAGAAGATACAGGCTAGGGAGTTTATCAAAATTTCTAGGTCAGGATTTTATATGTATTCATCTACATGTATATCACTCTAGAGATTTCTTACCCTCCTCATCTCTGCTAGGGACATCATCCCCTTCTTATCCATTTCAAAATGTTCTCTATAATGCAAGATAGTCCTAGAAGCTCTAAGATTATTATTTGTGTTAATAATAGAAATGAACAAATTGGAGGAAAATAGGTATGGGAAATAGTGAATTTGAGGTACTAGGATCAGTCCCCAATACCTGATAGATAGATAGATAGATAGATAGATAGATAGATAGATAGATAGATAGATAGACAACCCAAGTTTTTTTAGTATGAGAAAATATATTTAGAATGTTTATTTTTTTATTTTTTTAAGTACCATACGATTTATTTTTTTTAGTCATACATGACAGCAGAATATATTTTGACATATAATACATACATGGAATGTACATATATCAATCATAATGTCTATTCTATTCTGCTGCCCTTCCTATCCCCCCTACTCCTCCCCTCCTCTCTCATCCTTTCTCTCTATCCAATCTAAAGTGACATTTTTTTTTCTTTTTCTCATCATAACATCATAAATGTATTCTGTATAACAATGAGGTTCTCCTTCCATCTTCTGTGCAACTCCCCTTCTCCCTCTTTTTCCCTCCCACCTCTCTTCCCTATTTAGTGGTAGTCTTCTTCTCATGCTCTTCCTCCCTATCCCATTTTGAGTCACCCCCCCTTATATCAGAGAAGACATTTGGCATTTGTTTTTTAGGGATTGGCTAACTTTCACTTAGCATAATCTGCTCTAAAAAATGTCCATTAGAAAAGTGTTTTAAAATCTTATTGAACTATAATAACTAATTCTATTTATATGAGAACTTTATATATTTGTATAATACCTGAAAAAGTCATTGAGACATTTTTAGTTGTTTTCACATAATAATAATTCTGTACAAGCCTTTGACAATCAGAGTGTGATATGCTTAATAATATATTTTCCATTTTTTACCCCAACATTTCCTTTTTGATGATTGTTCTTGAGTAATTCATTCTCTGAAAACTAAAGCTTCACTAAAAAAATGTATAGTTTTAAATTGTTTAATTGTACCTTATTTACAGAGAAAGGTAATGAAGAGATGTAATTTGGCTCATTAGTCACCTGTATGTTAAATGAAGCCCCTTACTCTGTGATACTAATTATACAACTTTATGTTTGGTATCCTATTTATTATGTATTGTAAGCTACTAAAAATTTCCAGACTTAGGTTTTAAATATCTGCATCTCAAGATTATCCCTCCATGACTATTCTTTAAACTCAGAAAAACATTAACTGGAATGCTATCTGTAGTTAATTAGCCTTCAAGAGAATTCTAACCATTTATACACCAGAAATCATGTCTCTAGGATTTATTTTTAAATTTGCCACTGGTTCACTAGATGACTGCAAATTCTTTATATTATGTCAGGTATCAGCTTTCTCTTCTGTGAACAGAAAATAACCCCAGATCCCTCCTTAGAGGGTTTTTTAGGCAGTAAGGTCATATTTGAAGGGCTGGGGTTGTAGCTCAGTGGCAGGGTGCTTACCTAGCATGTGTGAGGCACTGGGTTCAAGTCTCAGCACCAATAAAAATAAATAAAGGTCTTGTGTTCATCTACAAATAAAAAAAAAGTTTAAAAAAGATCATATTTAAAGTTGTTTAAACTCTTTGGAAGAACATCAGTGTTTATTGGCTATTGTATATGAATTCCAAGTGACTGTGAACATAATCCTATGTGTCAGCTCTTCAAAAGTGACTTATGTCTCTTTCCTTGTGTGCGTATTTTTTAAATGCATCGCTTGTGTGCCTGGTTTGTTTTTGACTTGATTCATTTTTTTCCACATCTCCAGTGTCCCTTCCCATCCAGAAGGTCTCAACACACTGATGATAGTGCCTTGTTAGTGGTAAGAGTTTATGCAAAATGGAGTTTTATGCTGCTATTTCTAGATATTGAAGAATAGTTATTGTGCTTTCACTCAGAAATTATCTAATTATGGTAAAATACCATAAAACATGATGAGCATCATTACTAAATGCTTTATAAACAACTAGAACTATTTCACTGCTTTATCATTTGTGATTTACCAAGTGTTACAGAGTTATGCAGCTATGATTCACATGTTAGTGCTTCCCAAGATGAAACATTTACATTGAGAACCACATTGACTTTATGTTAGAGTTTTTTAAATGTCTTTTCAAATTCCAGGTGGTACTTTATTAATCATAATTTGACTCATGAGTCATCTGTATGTTAAATGAAACCCCTTACTCTGTGATACTAATTATACAATTAAATATTTGTATTTATTATGTATTATAAGCTACTAAAAATCCCAGACTTAGGTTTTAAATATTTGCATCTCAAGATTATCCCTCCATGACCATTCTTTAAACTCAAAAAAACATTAACTGGAATGCTATCTGCTGATTATCCTTGCAAGAGAATTCTAACCATTTATATAATTGCTTTTCCCATCATGTTTTATGTTATTATTCTATAATAGTATTGAAAACTAGCAGTTCAAAAGGCTAATGTCTATAACAAATTCTTTCCTATGTGCTGGAAACTGTTGCCATTGTGCATACTATATAAATTGCATGCTTTCATGTGAGACTCCTACTACAGAAACTTCCATTATTTGTTAAATTTTCTATGTATTCTCCAATCTTCATTTCCTTTGAGATAGATAAAGCACATTTTAACTGGCAGTTTTACAAATGAATACAATCACCAGTCTCTGGAGTTTTAGTGGAATTGGCATGAGAAATAAAATTAGTTTAAATTAATATGAAAAGATAGAACTGCTGATGATCCGCACACAAAATTATCTCATTCAATTTTCATAGCAAGAGTTAAGGTTAAATTTAGCACCATTTCATAAGTAATTACTGAGGCACAGAATATCTTGTCCAAAATGTGGCCTTTCCAAGGTCACTTAGCTGGTAAGTGTAAGGCGAGGTTTGAGTCTAGGTCTTTCTGTCTCAAGGACCTGCAATAAATACCCTGCTATATTTGCTATATTGCCTCCTACGTTGTAACTGAAAATAGTTCAGGCACTGAATATGAGATTTAATAACACATATTGTAAGTGATATAAGTCTGAGTGCCCAATAGTTTTTTTCAAGGAAAAAGCAGAAATTGAAAAAAAAATTTCCTTAGCATGAAATTTGAAACATCCTTTAACCATTTGTCAAAACATATATACTTGTATGTATTATCAGTATGCATGTTGGAAAGGTAGAACATGTACACCAAGAACCATATTGACTTTGTAAGTATAGGTAGCCTTTAAAAACAAATCTCACATTTTTTGTATGCCAAATAATATCCAGCTAACCCTGTACAAAAGAGTCCTATTTTAAATCATATTTCCTAAGTCATACTTTAAATCATATAGCTTTGATATTCTCAAAATTATTCTTCGAAGACATTAAATTGCTCTTGAAGTCTAGACCTCTTAACCTGGCCTCAAAGCTTTTGTGCTCTGGCTACTGCCTGCCTCTCCAGGCTCATATCTGGGCTCACTCTAGGATTTTTCCCAGCTCTACAGATATGGTAAGCCCTTTCCCACCTTTGCAAAGGGCTGTTCTCTCCTTACACCAGAATGCCTCTCCCTCCCTGCATATACCTTTTGATTGATTCCTCCTCATTAATCAGGTGTCTGTTTAATAATGTCTCATCTTCAAAATAGTTTTCTATGGCTTCCTTTCCTCAAATCAAATTGTCTTCATTGTTATTTTTTTCTTTATAGTACTTTCATTTACATTTTTTAAAAATATATTTCCCCTATTGGACTACCAGACTGTAAGCTTCAGGGGCACAAGGATATTCTCTGTCATATTTACCCTTTCATACCCTGGCCCCACCATAGTTCCTGGGAATATATTAGGTGCTCAGTAAATATTTATTGAATGAACACAAAAATGTTATATATCTAATAATTGCTCATTTAATTGTTTTGTCATGAACGTGTCTAATGTTACAAGAAGGAAAAGGTTGAATTTGATTTAAAGACCTTGTAATTTAGGATTTGAAATACATATTAGTTACATTTAATGCCAGTTACACTAATATTCTTTTGGGGCCGCATCTCAAGTGCCTGTTGCTTTTAACCTTTTATGTCTCCCTGTACTGCCACTGAGCTGCATTCCTTAACCTTTTATATTTTTATTTTGATACAGGACTTCACTGAATTGCAAAATGAGGCTAGCCCCAAACTTGCAATCCTCCTGCCCCAGCCTTTTGATTAGCTAGGCTTACAGGTGTGCACCACGGCACTCAGTGGCTTCTAGACTTTTTATATTTGAGATTGACTGCAGTTCCAAAGCATTTAATTAAAAGGAAGTCTAGGAAATCTGAACAGACGAAGCATACACGTGTCTTACCATTGTCATGGTCTTATTCTTTGGCACAATATTTATTTCTGTGTTAAAATAGATTTTGTCACAGAAATACATTATTGGTTACATGCTTTTTTTGTCAAAATAAAAAATATATATACTGTTCTCTACTAATTCTCATTAAAAATATAGTTGTAATCAGGCATGGTGTTGCATGCCTATAATCCCAGTTACTTGGGTGGCTGAGGCAGCAGATCACGAGTCCACAAAGTTTAAGACCAGCCTGGGCATCAGAGAAAGACCCTATCTAGGGGGGAAAAAAAGGTGTATTTATCCTGTTGAATACACATAGACCCTTTTATAAATGCCTACCTATGCTGGGCATTGTTGGGAGCAGCTCAGGAGGCTGAGGCAGGAGGATCGTGAATTCAAAGCCAGTCTCAGCAACTTAGCGAGCCCTAAGCAACTCTGTCTCTAAATAAAATACAAAAATGGGCTGGGGATGTGTCTCAGTGGTTAAGCACCCCTGAGTTCAATCCCCGATACCAAAATAAATAAATAAATAAATGCTCACCTATGTTTTTGTTCATTTATCCCATGATGTATCTCTAGTTAAAATTTTTTTTATTATTTAATTTATAAAGACCTTAATAGCTTTAAGCTTTTGCCATTTTATTGTCATAGTAGGTAAATCTTATTCAGTTCCTTTCTGAAAAATCTTCTGATTTTTATTTCCCTTGTGGCAAAAGAAAAAAGTTTTATGTCTTGACCATCTTAGCTGTAATCAAAAATCTATATAATGGCTTCTTTTTTATTTTAATTTCAAATGTTGAGTAATAATCATACATAGACATTAGTTTCTAACAGTATTTCTTATAATATCTGTAATATACCTAACTAGTTGTATGTTGGCTGGTGAAAGATAAAGGATTAAAAACAGGGGGTAGGGGGATTCTTCCCTACCCTCTTATAGGTCATTTGGAATTTCACAGAGGCAGAAATGAAATGCTGGTTTATCCTTAAGGTGTGATGCAGAATTGTTATGTCCTGTGTTCTCACATCGGAGCCTTAAATTGGATTATAATAAATTAATTTGGATTAATATTTAAAAAATATTGTTCTGAAGCCAGTTCTGCCTGGTTAAAATTGACTGGTTCATTTTCCCTGCTATAGGAACAGCAAAGGACTCAATAGTTTGAAAACTATTTTGCTAAAAATATTGATGTTCTTAGTTTTATTTCTGTGTGAAATAATTTTTATTAACTCATGCCTCTTGGTTCTTCATTAATATGGTATGAGATATTACAAATATCCTGAATTATTCAGGTAGAGATCCTGTGTTGTATAAATGATGGGGATTTTCCCAAAAAATATTCTCCTTCAAACTTATTAATAACCTTGGTAAAACATTTTGAAAAGTTTGTCAATGACGTTTCCTTCTCTAATTTCACTGATCAGACCTGCCTGCCTGGCATTTTGCTAACATAAATGCTGCCTTCTGTTTCTTCTCTTCCTCTTTTTGAAATTTAGTCGCTGTCAGGGTTGAATCAAGTGGGCTGTGCTGTTACCCTGCTTCATTCTTCTGCCTTCACGCCTCTTAAGGTATCTTTTGTTACATTATTTCACCAGGAAATTTGGGGAGGGTGTGCACAAAGTAGGTCTTAAATTTTCCAATAGATTGATGATAGCAACAATCTGAAATCTAGGATTGTATGAAATATGCCTAAGCTTATGAAACTATTTGAGTTTAACACTGGTTTCACTTGAAATTTTTTGAAAGTTTTACATTGCCAGATAATCATAGAGTCTACATTAATTCTTTATATTCAGATTCTATTTGAAATTTCATTCTGCTTTTTTATCAAAGGTTATATTTTATCATGAATTATTTTATGTGGTAAATAGAAAATATAAAATAACTGTTGTTTAATATGCATGTAAAATAAGTCCCAGTCTGTAAAATTATCACTGCCCAAACTTGCTGGAAAAGTCAATAAAGTTTTATTGTTACCAGGTGTGGTGGTACATGCCTGTAATCCCAGCAACTCAGAAGGCTGAGGCAGGAGAACAATGAGTTCAAAGCCAGCCTCAGCAACTTAGTGAAGTAAGCAACTTAATGGGATCCTGTCTCAAAATAAAATATAAAAAGCCCTTGAGATGTGGTTCAGTAGTTAAGTGCCCCCAGAATAATCCCTGGTACCAAAACAACAACAACAAAAAAAAAACTCTTATTGGTACACAGCCAATCCCTTTTGTTTATGTATTTATTGTCTGTGTCTGCTTTTGCAATAAACAGCAGAGTTGGAATAGTTGTGACAGAGATTATAACAATCTGCAAGCCTAAATGTTTGTTTGGCCTTTTAAGAAAAAAAATTGCCACCCTTTGCTTTATGTCGTCAGTAATATTAGATGATAAATTCTACCTTTTAGAAAAATTTAGAGCCTGTAGTATTTTATTTTTTAAGGCCTCTGGGAATGATAATTGCATCTTTATTTTAGTATACATAAGAAATTATTAAAACTTCTCACTGTCTGGGGCTGGGGATGTGGCTCAAGAGGTAGCGCGCTCACCTGGCATGCGTGCGGCCCGGGTTCGATCCTCAGCACCACATATAAAACAAAGATGTTGTATCCACTGATAACTAAAAAATAAATATTAAAATTCTCTCTCTCTCTCTCTCTACTCTCTCACTCTCTCTTTGAAAAAAAAAAAACTTCTCACTGTCAAGATCCTCTCTTTGACTAACGTATCTGTTCTGCTGTGGCGTGTACTGATTTCTTTTTTGCATTACTTAACAATCTTTATGTAAGATTCTTTATATTTGAAAGCTATTATTTACCACTGTGTACTTCTCTGCTTGACCCTGAAAAAACTACCTACATTATTTTCCATGTTAACATTTTTTCCAATTATTCTCAGTTGAGTTCCTTATTTGTACAACAGAAAGTTATTTTGGTTACTTTTTTTTTTCTTCACAATTCTCTCAAGGAAGGTAAACCATTTTACAATGTGTGAGAGAGAAGTTAATTCATTATACTCAAGGGATATCTCATGGCATTGGCACTTTTAATCTGAGTCATAGCTAATAAAGGCCATATACAAATGTGCCAAAAGTTGCATGATCCAGACCAAATTTTCTCTATAAAAGTGGCTATGACTTTGTTTCTAGCAGCCTGCTAGACTGTCAAATGAGTAGATTTTTTAAAATATTTTATTAGTTGTTGATGGACTTGTTATTTATTTATATGTGGTGCCTCACACATGCTAGGCAAGCACTCTACCACTGAGCTACAACTCCAGCCCCTCAAATTACTAGTTTTAAAAGATTTATTTTTATCTTTACAGCAGTTATGTACTGGATTTAGGCATAATTTCTTATTGTTGTTTCTTAGCCAGGCTTAGAATTTGAGTTCATGTCAACTTCTGAGATTATTTTATAATCTTTTTGTTTTGTGTCTGGTTCTCCAAGAATTCCCAAATATAATTAATGATCCCAATGTGATTTCAACTAATTATTTTATAGTGTCCTAAAAGGCAAGTCATGTAGATTTATAGTTTCAATAAAAGTACATTAAAAGTCATCCTATTAACAGTTTCCTTCTTTCTGGCTTTAGTTTCTTTCACACCCAGGTGAGTTGCATGGTATCAGTTGCTGTTTCTGGAGGTAGAGAACATTTGCTGACCTTCAGCATCATTTGTTTTGGCTCTTCCTTCTTATCTAATAAAGCTAGCTGCCTATTAACTTTCTTTTATTCTTTAAAATGTTAAATTTCTAGTCTGTATCCTATGAATAATTCTTTTAAATTTTTAAAAATATTTTTTTCTTTATTTAGAATAATTTTTGCCTTTAAATGTTTTTTCTACTTATACCATTGGTATTTCAGCGAGTCTTCATTTAGCCAACTTTCTCCTTCCTAGCTCATATCTTTGAAAATAACAGTAGTCTTTTTGTTTCCATCTAAAGTATCCAGCTTTTGCCTCATTTGCCTGTTGATTCCTTTTTATTAATTCCTATTACTCTTGTTTTAAATTTATTAAAGTTTCCATTTTTTTTCAACACCTAAAATATAGATTATATACATCTATAATCTTTATGAACATGTTGTTTCTGCCTCAGTCAAGAGCAAAGCTTCTTGTTGGCTTTTTTTTGAGGTGGGGGGGCAGTACCTGGGATTGAACCCAGAGGCGCTTAACAACTGAGCCACATCCCCAGCCTCCCCACATCCCCACACACACCTTTTTTGGGGGGGTGACAGCGTCTCACTAAATTTCTGAGGCTGGCCTTGACCTTGCAATCTTCCTGCCTCAGCCTCCCGAGTCACTGGGATTACAGGTATGCCACCATGCCTTGCAAGCCCAGCTTGCTTTTTAAATCTTAACATTTAAATCTTGACTCTCAGCCTATAAATATCAAACTAAGGAATCATTACCAGAAAATTATCTCTAAATCTGTCCAAGAATATTCTCAACTGCATGGCTCTTTCCTTGTCATTGTTGTTTGCAATTAAAATTCTGTCATCATTTATTTTATCTGACCCAAATTCAACTAGAGATATGAGATTTTTTAAACTATTGAGCCCTGGGTAGGTGGGAGGGAGCAGATATGTGTGTATGTGTTAGTTTTAAAGTCATTTTGGTTTAGAAATGCCTAATATACCATAAAGTTATGTTTAAATTTAATTAGATGTCAAGACTTCTTGATTCTGCTCTCCTGCCAAACCTTCAACGTCTTTAACTCAGCCATTAAATATGTTTTTTATCTTAAGTTCCCCTTTTTTACGTAAACTTTATAAGATATCATCTTGTAAACACATTTGTTTCTAATTGAATGAAGAAACCTATTTCCTGTTTTCCAAAAGATTAAATATTATTCTCCAGAGGAAAATGTATTTTAAAAATTATTCCAGAGAATTGCTATTAGAAAATAAAATTTTATTCTTTCCCATATATTTTATACCTTATAGTGATGATTTCTCAGTCTTTAGAAAGGCCTGTTATTTTTAGATAATACTTTACATAAACACAAAAAGTTTGACTGGGGTTGTATGTAGCTCAGTGGTAGAGTGCTTGCCTAGCATGTGTGCAGGACTAGGTTCGATCCTCAGCACCACATAAAAAATAAATAAATAAGTAAAATAAAGGTATTGTTGTCTATCTACAACTAAAAATATATATTTTTTAAATAATGTACAAGATTAAATATTTTCACTTAATTTTCATTCCAAGACTTAAATTTGAAGGAGAGTTGCATGGGTTTTTTTTTAATATAGTCCCAAAGTTAACATAAATGTGGAAAGTTTGTCTTCTTGAATAATAATTATTGCTGTGTTTTTCTCCACAGAGTGATGACAGATCTACTGCCATTTCAAGTTCACCTACAACAGAAACAGGTAATAGACACAAAAGTACAGTTAACCATATCAAGATTCTAATTCTTTACCAGAATTTTCTTGAACAAGTTGATTAGTTAGAAAACTGACTTCTTTTTCTGAGATAGAATCAGACACAAATTGAAAACTTTCTAAACATTTCCCACTTTTTAATTCAACTGGTTATTCAACTACTTAGCCATTTGATGAGAACAAATGAGCTTGAGCCAGCAGGGCTATAGATTTGCAAGAGGGTATGTTCAGTATATTAGCATTTTTCTGTATTTATTGATATACCAAAAATAACATGAGAATTAAAAACCCTTCTCTAAGGATTACTTTTCTATGCCAGATTTTTCATTAGTAAACAGAATTCTTAACAAGCATGGTGGCACACACCTGAAATGCCAGCAACTCAGAAGGCTAAGGCAGGAGGATCACAAGTACCAGGCCAGCCTCAGCAACTTATTAAGAACCTGTCTTAAAATAAAAAAATAAATAAAAAGGGCTCGGGATGTAGCTTAGTGATAGAGCACTCTTTGGTTCAATCCTAAGTACAAAAAAAAAAAGTATCATTTTATATCATATTGCCATGTTTGATTTTTTCTGTATGTACTACTTACTGAACTTTTGTGACTATGACATATACATCTACATTATATTTAATTTGCTTTCCATCTCCTTTCATTTCATTTTGCTTTTCCATACTGATTTAGTTCATCATTCCCCTGCATATTCTTTTCCTGCTACTATCCAGAGAAATCAACCCCTGCGCCCTGAAAGTTTCCTTTTCCGAGCAGCTGTCAGGGCAGAAACAAATAAAGGTAGGTGATAGTGATTTTAAAAATGGGGCAGGATAGGGTTGGGGCTGGAAAGGTGCTTTATACAAGACATAAACTGTAACATCTTTTAAACTTATATACCAAAAGCTTTAAACTCTGAAGATACCTGTGGTTAAATTTGTTTTGATTAAAAAGTTGCTTAGAATCACCTAAAAGCAAGCATTTTTATGTTTTTTTGATTTAGGGGGGTTGGGGTACTAAGATGGCCTGGAACTTGAAATCCTCCTATCTTAGCCTCCTGAGTAGCTGGGATTACAGGTATGCACTGCCACACCCAGCTAAATAAGTTTTGAATATTTGAACAAATAAAATCCTCTTCAGTTAGAAGATATAGCTTCTTCTCCCCGACCCCTTTGATACTGGGGATGGAGCCCAGGGACACTTTCCCACTAAGTTATATTCCCAGCTCTTTCGATTTTTTATTTTGAAACAGGGTCTCACTACATTCCTGAGGCTGGACTTTAAACTTGCAAGACTCCTGCCTCAGCCTCCTGAGTCACTAGGATTAGAGGGATGTGCCACCATACCCAGCTGCAATGCGCTTTTTCAGATTTTTCTGTATTGATAAACTGTCAAACATTTGTATACTCCATGATCATAAACCAACAATTTTGAGAAATATGCACACAGGTATACCGAAAATATGTCCAAAAATATTCACAGCAGTATTATTCAAAATAGCCCCAAATACAATGTCCATCAATAGAATGGATAATAAATTGTGGTATAGCTAAACATCGGCATATACCGTAAAGGTCATGAAAATGAACAAATAACTCTGAACATCAACATGGATAAATCTCATCATGTTAATCAAAAGAAGCCAGACCACAAAAGCATACAATATGATTTAATTTATAGAAAGTTCAAAAATGAGAAAACTAATCTATGGCTTTTGAAGTCAGCATACTGGTAACCTTTAGGTACTAATAGGCAGAGCATGCAAGAGGGCTTTTGGGCATAAGTAATGTTTCATTTACTAATTAATTAATATCTCTAAGGATATTAATTGTTTCACTTTCTGAGGAAAATTATTAATCTCTGCTATTTGTATAATTTTCTGTATATGTATTTTTTTTTCAATGATAACATTTTTGGGCTCAAATAAAGTAGTTAAGCCAAATGGGTAATCATTATCGTGTATATTTGAAATTTTCCATAATAAAAACATTTTTAAAAATTCAATCCAGAAAGCAGAAAATGATGTCTTTGCAAGGACACTGTCATCAGACAGATGTATTTTCTTAGCATTGGTTTTCTATCTAACATGTTAGTATTTTTCTAGGCCATGCTTCTCCTCTCCCATCTTCTGCACCTACCACTGATTCTACAGATCCCATATCAAGGCAGAGAGAAGAAGAGCTGAAATTAATAGAACAACTACGAAAAGTGTGTATATTATCTTTGAATTGCACTTTTTCCCGTGATATTACTATAGCCCATAATCCCATAATTACTTGTTTATAGAATTAGTAGATATCTATTATGGCTGTGTTTTGTGATAAATGTAAAAGAAATTATGCTACTGAAGAAATTCTTTTCAACTTTTTACTGAAAAAATTGAGATGGGTTATTCTTAGCCCTATGCATTTGAAATTATTTTCATTTCCTTTCTGCTTCATATTATAACAAAATCTTATAATAATAATTTATATGAACATACACATATACATATACACTTATGTGATAAGAGGTTAGCTATTTTATTTTGAAATCAAAAGAGAATCCAGTCTTTGTTTTCTTTTTAATCAGAAAATGGTATATGAATTTCTGTTGTATTTGGCACTGTGGCCTAGCTGTCGTATGTATGTACATGTATGATCTCCTTATTTCCTTTTTATCTTGATTTCCAACTAAGTGTATTCCATTGTAACTCCATTATGTCTTATGTGTTAATCAATCTTCAATTACTATATTACATGTTTTCCTATTCTGCCAGCATATAGAGTACCGACTAAAAGTATCTCTGCCTTGTGATCTTGGAGCAGCTCTAACTGATGGTGTTGTTCTTTGCCATTTGGCCAATCATGTGCGTCCTCGATCTGTCCCAAGCATTCACGTTCCCTCACCAGCTGTGGTAAGTAATATAATGCTAAAAAGCAGTGGCTATTTATCAGACATTCATTAAGCATAGTGGCAGTCATTTTGCTGAAGTTAGGGATGCAAAGGGTCCAGTCCCTGCCTTTTTGATTTCACTTCTAAAGAAAAATAGACATGTTAACAATAATTTTTAGTAATCTAATAAATATAAGATGTATACTATGAAGATACAAAAAAGAACCTGTTAACGGCCTAGAAAGTTCAGGTAGGCCTTCCTAGAGGAGGTGAAATTTGAACTAATTTCTTGAAGTATGAGTAGGAATTTGCAAGCAATACAGAGAAAGAGAAGGCATTCTGGGCACAGTATTCCTAGATTCAAAAGCTAAAGAAGTGGGCTAAAAATGTAGCTCTGTGGAAAAGCACTTGCCTAGCATGCTCAAGGGAATCTCTAGCATTACAGAAGCTGGGGGTAGGAGAGCTAAGGAAGGTCATGATGTATTCAAGGAATTGTTAAATTGTTCAGAATAAATCATACACTGAGTATGGCAGGAGTTGAAGAAGAGAGCTGAGCCCTTATGAAACATGTGAAGGAATTAGAAGTTTATCTTAGGGGAGATATTGGGGAAACACTGAAAGAATTTTTTCCATATTTTACATATTTACACATATGTAATAAAATCTTATAATAATAATAAAAATTTTCCATATTTATACACCCTGATTATACATAATGGTGGTATTTATTGTTATATATTTGTCCATGTATATAATATAGCAATATAATTTTGCTAGTTTCATTCCCCAGTATTTCTCCTTTCCTTCCCCTTCTCCTTCCCCCTGGTTCCTTTTGTCTACTCTTATTGATCTCCCTTCTATTTTCATAAACTCCACCCACCACTTTCTTTTCCATTTTTCTCTCTAGTTTCCACATATGAGAGAAAACAGGTGACCCTTAACTTCTTGAGTTTGGTTTATTTCACTTAACATAATGTTCTCAAGTTCCCTCCATTTTCCTGCCAAAGACATAACTTCACACTTTTTCTTTATGGCAGAATAAAACTCCATTGTGTATATATACCACATTTTCGTTATTCATTCATTAATGAATACCTAAGCTGGTTCCACAGTTTGGCTATTGTGAATTCTTCTATTATAAACATGGATATGCATGTATCTCTATAATATTCTGACTTTAATTTTTTAGGATAAATACTGAGGAGTGTTATAGCTAGGTTATATGATGGTTCTATTCCTAGTCTTTTGATGAACTTCCAATTGATTTCCATAGTGGTTTTACTAATTTACAATCCTACCAACAGTGCAAATATGTTCCTTTTTCTCCACATTCTCTCCAGCATTTGTTATTGTTTGTATTCTTGATAGCTGCCATTCTAACTGGAGTATTAGGAAATCTAAGTATAGTTTTCATTTGCATTTCCTTAATTGCTAAAGATGTTTTCTTCATATATTTAGTGACCATTTATATTTCTTCTTTTGAGAAGTTTTTTGTTTTTTGTTAGGAGTTTTTTGTTTTTGATTTTGTTTTTTATTTATATATGACAGCAGAATGCATTATAATTCTTATTACATATATAGAGCAAAATTTTTCATATCTCTGGTTGTATATAAAGTATATTCACACCAATTCATGTCTTTATACATGTACTTTGGATAATAATGTCCATCACATTCCACTATCATTTCTAACCCCTCCCTTTCCCTCCCACCCCTCTGTCCTATCTAGAGTTCAATATTCCTCCCATGCTCCCTCTCCCTACCCCCCTATAAATCAGTCTCCTTATATCAGAGAAAATATTCGGCATTTGGTTTTTTGGGATTGGATAACTTCACTTAGCATTATCTTCTCTATTTCCATCCATTTACCTGCAAAAGCCATGATTTCATTCTCTTTTATTGCGGAGTAATATTCTTGTGTATATATGCCACATTTTTAATCCATTCATCTATTGAAGGGCATCTAGGTTGTTCCACAATTTAGCTATTGTGAATTGTGCTGCTATAAATATTGATATGGCTATGTCCCTGTAGTATGCTGTTTTTAAGTCCTTTGGGTATAGACCGAGGGATAGCTGGGTCAAATGGTTTTGTTTTTTTTGTTGTTCTATTTTGGATTTGGTTTTGAGTGGGTTGTTTGGTTTGGGTTTTCATATTTTTTAATTTTTTAAAAAAAATTTTAGTGTAAAGTTATTTTGGATAGTAATCCTCTATCAGAAGAATAACTAGCAAAGATTTTCTTCCATCCAGTAGGTTCTTTCTTCACATTGTTTTCTTTGGCTATGAAGGAGCTTTTTTAATTTAATGTCATCCCATCTTTATTTATTCTCGACATTATTTCCTGGGCTTTGGAAATCCTACTGAGAAAGTCATTGCCTGGTCCAGTGCAATGGCGCATGCCTGTAATCCTAGCAGCTCAAGAAGCTGAGGCAAGAAGATTGTGAGTTCAAAACCAGCTTCAGCAACTTAGCAAGGTCCTAAGTATCTCAGTAAGACCCTGTCTCTAAATAAAATACAAGAAAGGGCTGGGGATGTGGCACAATGGTTAAGAGCACCTGGGTTAAATCTAGGTACCAAAGAAAGAAAGAAAGTCAATGCCTGTACTTTTGTGTTGGAGTGTAGACCTTATATTTTCTTCTAGGAGAACTAAGACCAGTGTCTGGTCTTGTTCCTAGGTCTTTAATCCTTTTTGAGTTGGCATTTGTATAGCATGAGATAGGGATCTAGACTCATTCTTCTATATATGGCAAACCACTTTTCCAAGCACCATTTGTTTGAAAAGGCTGTCTTTTCTCCAGTATATATTTTTTCTTAAGTTGTCAACAGACCTTTATTTTATTTATTTATATTCAGTGCTGAGAATTGAACCCAGTGCCTCACACATGCCACGCAAGTGTGCTACCCCTGAGCCTCAACCTTGGCCCCTCCAATGTATGTTTTGATACCTTTGTCAGATGACTGAATCTCTATGGGTTTGTCTCTGTGTCTTCTGTTTCATTGGTCTATGTGTCTATTTTCATGCCAGTATCATTCAGTTTTTGTTACTATAACCATAGTATAATTTGAAGTCATTGCTTTTTTTTTCATTTATATATGGACACAATATCTTTATTTTTATGTGGTGGTGAGGATCAAATCCAGGGCCTCATACCTGTGAAGCAGGCACTCTACCACTGAGCTATAGCTCCAGCCCTGAAGTCATTGCTTTTTTGACTTAGAATTGCTTTGGCTATTCTGAATCTTTTGCCTTCCATGAGTTTTAATGCTTTATTTTCTAGTTCCATAAAGAAAGTCATTGATATTTTGGTGGGGATTGCATTGAATCTGATATTGCTTTGGTAATATGGCAATTTTAACAATATTAATTCTGCCTATCCATGAACATTGGTGGTCTTCCATCTTGTGTCTTCTTCAGTGTTCTATACTTTTCATTGTATAGTCTTTCACCTCCTTGGTTAGATTTATTCCTAGGTATTTTATTTTTTTCAATGCCACTGTGAATGGAGATGTTTTCCTGAATTCATTTTATTTATTTATTTGTTTGTTTATAGCTGTAGATGAACACAATAACTTTATTTACTTATTTATTTTTATGTTGTGCTGAGGATTAAACCCAGTACCTCATGCATGCTAGGCAAGCACTCTACTACTTAGCTACAACTTCAGCCCCTGAATTCATTCTTAACAGATTCCTTATTGGTATATAGGAAAGTCACTGATTTTTGTATGTTGATTTTTGTAACCTCCTACTTGGCTAAATTGGTTTATTAGTTCCAGCAATCTTCTGGTGGAGTATTTTGGAAATCTAAGTATAGGATCATATCCTCTGCAAACAATGATAATTTGACTTCTTTTCTTTTTTTATTTCCTTTTCTTGCCTAATTTTCTGGCAAGAATTCCTAGCACCATATTAAATAGGAGTGGTGAGAGTGGATATTTGTGTCTTGTTCCGGATTTTAAAGGAAGTGCTTTCAGTTTTTTTCCCATGTATTATGAGGTTGGCTTTGGGTTTTTCATATATAGTCTTTATGATGTTGACGGACATTCCTTCTATCCCTGTTTTTTTTCAGTGTTTTTAGCATGAATTAGGGCTGATGTGAAGGATTTTTGTGCATCTATTGATATGACTGTGATTTTTGTCCTTAATTCTATTTTTGTTTTCTTTGGATGCTTATCAGCTCTGGATATTAGTGTCAACCAACAAAAGAAACAGCAGGCTTTGGGTTGATATACCCCTCCTTTTTTTCCTTAAACTTTTTATTAAAAAATTTTAGCCCAGAAGTTCTGCTATCCTGTTTCAACAGTAGGATAACTGTTCAATCCTCAGCACCACATAAAAATATATGAATAAAATAAAGGTATTGTGTCTCAACTACAACTTAAAAGTAAATGTTTAAAAAGAATGTTTAAACCTTCAGAAAAGTTGAAAGTATAATATAGTGAGCACTTAAAATCTTTATGTAGATCTGACATTTATTCAGTTTTGCCATATTTGCTTTATCTGTGTGTGTCTTTAAACTGCACCAATTAAGAGATGCAGGTCTCATAACTTTTTACCTTTCAAATATTCCAGAGAATGGTCCTGGTCCACCTTTCCTTTTCCCATAGCTGATAGCCAATGGCTGACATAGGACTGAGTCCTCCTATTTCAAGATGAGAGAACAATTCACTTCTGAGCTTCCCATGGGATCATGTTGAAGCTGAGAAGGAGGTATCTATGAGCCATTAGCAGCCAGCAAGATGGGAAGGGTTGGGGGTAAGAATGGATGTACAGACTAGTAGGGGAACACCAGGTGTCAGCATCCACCATAGGTAAATTGAAATTTCTACATTTGCTCTAAGGATATCTTTCATAGCTGCTACTTCATTCCCCCCCTCCAGTAAAGCAAGAGAGACACACACACACAGAGGATATAATCAAGGTTCACATTGCATTTATTTGATTGTATTTTCACCCTATTTTGATGACTTTTAATGAATATTCCTGCATTTTTAGTAGCTTAGCAGTGTTTACCTTTTCAAAGGTTTGCCCTCTTGTCATTTTCTAGTTGGTTGGTTTGTTATTTAGCAGGCAGTTCCTTGTAAATTCTTTGTTCAGATTGCAGTTGTATTAGAACTATAGATTTCTACATCTAGACATTCATTTTACTACTTTTCCAGATGCAAATCCTTAATCCTTCTCTAGGACTTTGTATTCTTTTAATTACAAAAAAAATTAAGTTATAAATAGACATAATACCTTTATTTTTATTTATTTATTTTTATGTGGTACTGAGGATCAAACCCAGTGCCTCACACATGCTAGGCAAGCACTCTGCCACTTAGCTACAGACCCAGTTCCTAAAACTTCTTTATCAAAGTCCCAGGTCTGATATGGCCCTTTTTTGTCCAGCACATCCAAAAATAGAGTTATACATTTCTTCTAAGGAAAATAGGTAGCTTCTTTTTATTTAATGACTCTGAGAGCAAGTGTTCAGTTCTCTATAGATAAAGCAAAGTAGTACTACCAAACTAAACTATACTCCCAATGAATTAAAAACCTCCCCATTGGTCCTATAGGTAATGACTAAGAAAACAATGGCAATGCCAGTAAGGGAAGAAGTGTTTGTTCATACTTTCTGTTCTTCCCAGTTTCTGTCAACTGCATTAAGAAAAAAAATTATTCTTTAATTAAAAATAAAAAGGACAAAACTTTCCTTCTTCATTTTCAGGGGAAATACTATCAAGGAGTTAATGTAGTAAGTGGAATTTGAAAGAGTGACTGAGCCTCTTTACTTTGACTGCCAGAACACAGTGTTTTCAAGAATGTAATATATATATAATGAGAAAATAAAAGTATTTTATAAATATTTAACTTCTCCAAGAAATAAAATACATGGACCTTCTCCTTAGATAAAGAAATAAGGGTCTAAGATGAGATGAGAACACTTAGAAATGGCCAGTGGAATCAACAACAAAACGTACTCATTTATTGAGAGCATGTCAGAGCCAGGCATCCTGCCAGGCACAAAAGATACAGACACAGTTATAAGTGGTTCATTCTCTCAAGGACATTAATTTCTCTTTTTTAAGATTAAAAAAAAGGGAGGGTCTTTTATCAAATAGCTTTTTTTGACAAGTAAATTGTTTAATGGGAATTTTTACTTATTTATTTTTGAGGCAGGATGTTTTTTTGCCAGGCTGGCCTTGAACTCCTGAGCTCAAGGGTTCCTCCTGCCTCAGCTTCCCAAATAGCTGGGGCTGCAGGTGCCTACAACTATGCTCAGCTAGTAGGGAATCTTTCTAGATAATAAAGGATATATATAGTTAAGAAGACACATAAAATTTCCCAAATGAAAAATCTGGGGGTGAAGGAATGGAGTTGGATTTAGCCAGATAATTGTCCACTATTTTAATTAAAAACAAAAACAAGCAAACAACCCTCTTTCAAACTGTGATAACTGTGATCATGATTACTAAGAATAAATCAATATTGCTTTCATGAAATTCCAATTATAGAACCAGTTTTCAGCATAAATATTTACACTTATTTTTCCTTCATACACATTTTCCTTCCTCATAGTAGACAGCTTCTTCCCTTATTTTGTTCTTAAAACCAGCATCAAGATTTGTAGTATACTTTCTTAGAATAATTTTTGTGATGAGAATATAAAATTAAAAACTAAATACGAATTAAAACTAGCAGTTTTTTTATGGCTACATTCATACATGTTAATTTCTTATAATTCTTTGAGAGCTAATTTCAGTGTATGTATAACTTGAAAAAGAGTTTCTTGATATAGTACACAAATCAGTTTCTTTCCCCAAATTCAAAAAATGAATTTCTCATTACAAAGGGAGGTTTTATATCAGGCATTGTAAAAGAATTCAGATAGATGATGAACTTATTTATGGGCAGACAAAGATTGTGTGCTGTCATGTTCTGATTTGGAGAGAGGAAAATAAATCAGAAAGTCATGTGTCTGTAACTTTTAAGTGTTTGCAACCATTTAAGTTCTAATTCATCTTTCTTGTTATCTTGGGAAGATCAAGATGTTTGATAAAATGCTGTTTAGTTGTTTGGTAGGTGTAGGTGTTAAGGAGTATGATTCACATTCTTAGAGGTATGCTGTTGAACCATATCAAAAACCATTACAGCTAGGCCTGGGCACACACTTGTAATCCTAGCAGCTCAAGAGGCAGTAGGATCGAAAGTTCAAAGCCAGCCTCAGCAAAAGTGAGGCGCTAAGCAACTTATCAAGACCCTGTCTCTAAATAAAATAACAAAATAGGGCTGAGGATGTGGCTTAGTGGTCAGGTGCCCCTGAGTTCAATCTCCAGTACCAACAACAACAAAAAATAATGACAAATACGGTGCTGGAAGAGCTCACTGAATGAACCATAAAATAGGAAGACAACCTGAGAAAAAAATCTGAATCAGCCAGGTATGATGGCTCACACCTATAATCCCAGCAGCTCAGGAAGCTGAGGCACGAGGATTACAGGTTTAAAGCCAGCCTCACCAATTTAGTGAGGCCCTAAGCAATAAAATATAAAAAGAGCTGGGGATGTGGCATTCTTTGAAGAAAACCCAGATATTTACAGATGAAACCTTTTTTCCCCCTAAAGATGATATAGACTTCCATCTGTTAACTGTAGTAATAAAAACCCAAAGGTATGATTCCATGCAAACGTTTGGCTTCCCTGACTGATGCTTGAACATACTGTAAACCAACCAATGAATTTGTACAATTGAATATGTTAATCATTTTGAAAAATGGTATTCATATTTGTTTTCTAATATTATCTTTCATGATAACCCACAGGTGAAAAGCTTGATTGAAACTTTAAATCACTTAATATAACTCTTTATTTCTAGCCATAAGAGATCTTTATAGAAAAACAAGCTTACTAGTTGTAACTGGGGAAATTTCCTATAGGAACTTTTCACGCTTTGGAAAATGAGTTCCGAATTGACCCAGTCTTTTTGTTGTTGTTGTTGTTTGTACCAGGGTTTGAGCCCAGGAGCTCTCAACCACTAAGCCACATCTCCAGTCCTTTTTTATATTTTATTTAGAGACAGAGTCTTGCTGATTTGCTTAGGGCCTTGCTAAGTTGCTGAAGCTGGCTTTGAACTCCCAGTCCTCCTGCCTCAACCTCCCAAGCCCACTAGGATTACAAATGTGTGCCACTGTGTCTGCTGACCCATCCTTTTAAAATCAAAATTTTTTATAGTTGTAGATGTTCAGCATGCCTTTTTTTTGTTTTTAATGCAGTGCTAAGGATCAACCCCAGTGCCTCACATGTTAGACAAGCGCTCTGCCACTGAGCTACAGCCCTAACCTCTAAAATTAAAATGTTTTTTAAAATTCAGATGTTGTCAGTGAGTGAGAACATGATGCATCTATAGTATATTTATGAGTAAAGCTTTGAGGTTTTTTTTTTCTTTTTTGTTATATTTAATATATACTAAAAGAAAAATGAACCAGTTGTTAATTGTGGATATATTTGAGTGATGAGCAATGGATAATTAATTTTGCCGTTCTTTTAAATTTATTTAGTGTACATTGTCTGAAAATAGAATAAAATTTAAAACTATCCATCTAAAAATTTTTCTGTTTAGTACTTACCTTTCAAAACTAAAGCAAAATGTTTATTTTAAAAAGTGGCAAACAGCCAGGCTTGGTGGCACATGCCTGTAATCCCAGCAGCTCAGGAGGCTGACACAGGAGGATCATGGGTTCAAAGCCAGCGAGGCGCTAACCAATTCAGCAAGACCCTGTCTCTAAATAAAATACAAAGTAGGGCTGGGGATGCGGCTCAATAGTAAAATGACCCTGAGTTCAGTCTCTGGTATACACCCCCCCAAAAAAGGTGGCAAACAGCTACCCACAGGACAGCACCTATTTCTATAAACAGAGTTTTATTGGAACACAGCCACAATTACTTGTTTACATGTTGCCTGTGGTTATTTTCAAGCCTGTAGCAGAATTGATTATTTGTAACAGTTCTTATGACTCTCAAGACTAATATATATGATCTGATCCTCTTTTAAAGAAAATGTTTACTGACCCCCTCAGTCTATAGTGTTGTGAATATATGAATCAATTGGCAAGAGTATTTTTAAAGTTGGTAAATTTTTAGACCTTTCCTGATAACATTCTAATTTTCCTCCTTTTATTTTTATAGCCTAAATTAACAATGGCAAAATGCAGGCGAAATGTGGAGAATTTCCTAGAAGCTTGCAGAAAAATTGGTGTACCTCAGGTAATAAATTATCTTTTTTGTATGTGTTGCCTTTTTAAAAGAGTTAGGCATTATAGTCCTAAAATCTTATCAGAAATGCACTAGACTTATAGGACTCTGAACTAAGTTGGTGATTACTAACATGATATTGTGTTATAAGAGTCAATTGATATTCTTTTGATCAATATTTTTATTGTTTTTCTTATTTCCCAGGACCTCACAAAGAAATCATAAATATATAAATTTAAATAATTATATTATAATAAGTAATTAATGAAACATAACTTTCTGTTTTCCTAAACATCCCAACTAGCTGTTTGGCTTGTATAAAACTATACAAACAACAGAATTTGTCTTTCAAAATCTCAGAGTGAGAATGCTTCAGTTGGCTTCAGTTTTTGGTTTTTTGTTTGTTTGTTTGTTTGTTTTTTTATTGTTGGTCGTTCAAAACATTATGGCTTCAGTTTTTAACACCTTCTTTAATACTAAAAATTTTTAATTTAGAAGTAATTTTAGACTTGCAGAAATGTTAGAAAAATAGGACAGAGAGTGTCTATGTATACTTCACCAATATTAACATCTAACATAGGTATGGTACAGTTGTCCAAATTAAGTAACATTGGAACAGTAATTCTGTTAACTAAATTACAGACTTCATTCAGATTTTACAAGTTTTTCTACTAAGCTCTAATATCTTAGAGTTTAACTTGCCATTTCCAAGCATCTGTTCTGCTACTAGGATTTATTGCCTCCAAGTTCCTCAGTTATATTAATATTCTTACCCTTCAGTAGTTCAAATAATTAAACTTAATTTATGGATGTAATTAAGGAAAACACCTAGATACTTTTTAAAAAGATAACTGAATAAACAGTGTAACTAAGAATGACATTCTTAAGGAATATTATATTTAATAATGTGATATGTAGACATATAAAGGAATAAACAACTTGGTGCCATTTGATCTATTGGGGATTGAACCTAGGGCTGCATTTATGCTAAACACATACACTACCACTGCATCACACTCTCAACCCCTACAATTGTTATATATTGTCCAACTGCCTCTTTTCTATCACCTTCTTTGATTAGCTGTCAGAAACTGGGATCATCAAGAATGCCGTGATCGCTCTCAGAGTCAAGCTCTATTCTAGTAGTTTTCACAGTGACTTTCTTCACCCAGTTTACCATACGTCTTTCTAACCAGGAACTGAGAAGGCCACAGCATCACTTATCCAGTGAACAACCTTCTCTTTCAGCTCTTTCTTGTGTTACAAAGTAGAAAAGAGTCCAGCTCCCTAGTACATCAATATTAGGCACCATGAATTCACATGATTGTTTTCTTTTATTGAATAGATGGTTGTTCTACTCTTTATTTTGCACTTATTTCTTTTGCTGGCTTTTTTTTTCCCTCCTTCTTTTTAACTTGAGGTAGAACTGAAGCTTCCATAATAATAAATTTAATCAAAATTTCTATTTTAATATTATTGTTTTATAAATGCTTATCAAGCCATTTTTAAATATATTAAAAGAGCATTCATACGGTATCTAAAAAAATGGCATATTTTTTCTCCATATTAAGAGTTTCTAATGTTCATACGTGCATGTCAACATTCAGTTCTTCCTTTCTTTGTACCAAAGATATTCCTACTGATACAAACATGCCTATTACCTACTCTAGTTTCATACCACAGTGTCTTTGAATAAGAGATTCAAAGAACTTGTATTTGAGGCCAGGATCATATATCTAATAGTTATTATATGTTATGTGTTAATAAATATTTTTCTTTTTATCAAGTCCATTAATGTTTTTATTTATTTAATAATCTCTGAAAAGGCAGGTTTGGATGATCTCCAAGGCACCATGCAGCTCTGTATTCATTTTGTACATTAGTGAATTAGACTTGGACTTGACTGATATAGGTTGGTATAGAGAATGGTAGCCACCAGAAAAAAATAAGGCATGTTGACTTAACTTATATTAAAAGTACTGTTAACCAACTTTTATAAATGTTATACCTTCCCAGTGGGCTTTATAGACCCATCTTCTCTCTCACATTTAAAATCCCTAACCTGGAATTCTTTCAGAATATTCCATTATGCAAAAAGTATAAAAACAGTGTACCTCAAATCATGCATTTAAGCCAGGCATGGGAGCACCCACTAATGTAATCCGAGTGACTTGGGAAGCTGAGGCAAGAGTATCACAAGTTTGAAGCCAGCCTCAGCAATTTAGCAAGATCCTAAAAAACTTAGCAAAACCCTGTCTTGAAATAAAAAATAAAAAGGACTTGGAATGTAGCTCAGTGGTAAACACCCCTGGATTCAATCCCCAGTACTCAACAAACAAATAAATATGCATTTTAGTCAGCATTTTCCAAGCATTGGTTAATAGTATTTATTATGAGCTGGCAACCTATGTTTGTACCTGAGCTATGCCATTTTAACCAGGTACAGATAGAAAAAATATAATTTTAAAAGACTGGATTTTTTCCAAAGTGGTCAGACTGGAGTTCTTAACACATCCTTCCTCCCCTACCAGAAAGAGGAAATGGGCATTCCACATAGACCACCACTTCCTTCTCCCCTTTTGCCTTCCACCCAAGTCCCTGTCACCACTACCACCACCACCACCAATTTTAGATGCTTCCTGCTACACTGCAACTTTTGCTAAAAAATTAGTCATTTGTCTAGACAAACTAAGGGAAAATGAATAAATACACAAACTGGTTTAACCACCAATGGGCATTCTCAGATCCCTCTGCCACCCTCTATCTCCTCTTCTTCCTTTGTCCTACTATATTTCTAGGCATTCTGGCCTTCACTTATGCATCCTCACTTGCTCTGTTGGACTTGAAAAGAAAATTGTGTATTTAATCATGATGACTGCTTTTGAAATTTTTAAACAGAAAACTTAATATTATTAACATCTGACAGATTCTATGCCCAGGTAATATGTATAGAGAAAAACAATTTTTCTTAAAGCATTATACAAGTTAAATTATGAATGAACTATGAAAGAATAGGTGACTTTAAATCCTCTGATGAGGTTGAGTATATGGTTATTCACTTTATTACTATGTTTTTATTAAATGTTACTCAGAAAAACTTTAGTTGATGATACAGACTTATATTTGAGTCCAGTATCGTATATCCAAGAGTTATTGTATGTTATGTGTTAATAAATATTTTTCTTTTTGTCAAGTCCATTAACGTTTTTATTTATTTAATAATCTCTGAAATGGCAGAGATCTCCAAGGCCCCATGCAGCTCTGTAGTCATTTTGTACATTAGTGAATTAGGCTTGGACTTGACTGATAATTTAGAAAAACTTCACGTCATTCATCACACTTGGCTGCTAGGTGGTAAATGTCCCCTAATTATTAGCTCTCCTCATTCTTTGAACCCTCTTGATTTACCTGACTTCCCATGAAAAGTTCCTCCTGCTCAGCCCACCCCAATTTTTGTCGGTGCTTTCTGCCATTTCCTTCTTCACTAGTGGGGAGGGAAGAATAATTACGAAGGCCCTCCCACTCTCAGGCTTCACACGACTCTAAGCCAGCATCCAGTTCCGTTCAGTGTATCCTCAATGTTCATACTAGTCACCAATAAGCAGATAAGCAAATTTTATTATACTATCTAGTAGTAAATCAATCTCTATACAAAGAAGATTGTAGTTTTGCTTTTTAGCATTTTATTCATCATAAATAAAAACGTTACAGGATGTGTACCTTTGAATGTGATTGAGATGATCATACTGAATTCTATACTCAAATCTGCATTTCTGATCCACTGACTTTGTTTTTCTGTTTTCCTTTCCTGCTCACAATTTGGACAGGACATTCTTTGTTCCCCTTCCGACATCCTTCAGCTAAATCTCAGCGTTAAAAGAACTGTTGAAACACTACTTTCTCTTGGGGCACATTCAGAAGAATCCAGTTTTGTCTGTCTGTCTATCCAACTTCTGGGCTTTGTGGCATTTTATTGTACTTTAATGTTAACTCTCTGTATGCTTTATTACTGGGTCCTCCCCCTGTAGCTGAAAGATTGTGTTCCAGTGATTCTCCACTTCATTCCTGTACTTGGCAAAGGAGGTTTGTTGCTCACGAAGACACATTATTTACATATTTCTCCCTGCCCTGGCCTTCAGAGAGCTAACCTTAGTAGATAAGTCCTTCCAGGTCCAGGTGAGCAGCCTGTCACCTTAGTAAGCATTAATGATGGCTAACAGTGAATAAAAGACTAGCATTTTCTTTCCTGGTCATTTATCCATTCTCCTACCCTGTGGCCTTGTTTCTCTTATCATAAATGCCAGTGCATTTGTACTAATTCAATCCTGAATCTGTTGTTAGAAATGTGAGACACAGAACTTTATCTCCAAATGACAAAATAAAATGTCCATCTGGCCATTTTTCCATACTTAACACTACTTGAGTATTAAAACTGTGAGTTACTGAGCATGAGGAAAACAGTGGCACCCTTCTGGATTAGGGGCACCTTGTCACTTATATTACAACCCCGAAATCCTGAATTTGCCCTTAAAGATCTTTCTATGGCTATAATTTCTGGACATTGGAAGGTGCTAGCCACGTAATGTTAATAATTTTAATTTGGTCATAATGTTCAGTTTAAAGATCATATAGGTCCCTAAATTGCTGTTCTGAGCCCAATATGTATATATGCAGTACACATCAAGCAGGAGTAGATACTTGTCCACAGTAACTTTGTTTGTTAAATGTAACCGAAGTTCACTTCTAGAACGCTATTTGGGATTTATGTAAATTCTAATATATTTGAACCATCCTTATAGGTGAATTTGTATATAGGCTGTTGGGGAGATTAAATTGAAGCATTTGGCAGGTAAAGTATTCAGCTGCAGTCTTTGTTCTGTGCCCCCATCGATAAATATTGTCTCTCTTTCAGAATACTTAATATATGAGCTAATAGACCTTATTCAGATTCTAATTCTCATAATGGTGTTTCTGAACCTTCAGAAATCTTCTGAACTCTGTTAACAAAAGTATGAAGGGAGATTACAAGGAATGTAACATGCTGCTGAAGAATTCAGCCTGTGGGTCTGATTGCTTGGTTTTCTTCCACATTAAATAGGGAGTTATTTTAACACTTTTAAAGACTGTGTAATGTTAATACCGAAATATTGAACACTGTGATAACCTCAGTTTTCTACAGTAGTGCCTTCCAGAGTTGGGGGGTTAGTTTGGGCTTGTTCTATATTTAAGATGTCTTAGTCAATGATTATTCTCAGAGTTTTGTCCCTTTAAAAAATCACCTGTTAAAAAAACACACATGCTCATGTGTGGTTTAGGAAAGTAGTTGTATATTGTCTTGAGAACACACACCATTCCCTCTAACCAGCTGGAAGTTAGTTGTATGTCTAGAAAGCATGAGCCACTAAAAGTGTGAACCATGGGGCCGTACAGGTTACATACAGAGTGCTGCTGACAAGAGAGCCCCTAAACAGTCCTGAAGGAAATGCTTTTCCAGAAGATAAAACACCATGCAAGTTCATTTTTAAACGCAGCTAATCCATACTTGCAGTCCTTTGCAAAGTATTTCTACAAAGTTGCTAAGTTCTATTCAGTCAAAAGATTACAATTACCTTGTTTTTATTAAAATATTTTAAAAAGAAAGTAATTAAGGAGCACAAGTACCTATAACTTTCTCAAAAATAAATACTTACTATATATTTTATTACCACTGGTTTTTAAAAATATTATAGTAATATAGTGAGTGCCAATGGAAAGCAGAGAAAAATCCTGTTATTTTCTTTAATAAATACTATAACTTCTCTTTTAATGGAACCAGAATTCTTTTTTGGAGAGCAATTTCTTTTTTCTTTTTTTTTTCTGAATATTTAGCCTAAAGAGAAATACCAATGAAACTTTTTTTAAAATTGTAGATGGACACAATACCTTTATTTTGCTTATTTATTTTTATGAGGTGCTGAGGATCAAACCCAGTGCCTCACACAGCTGAGCCATAACCCCAGCCCTCCCAATGATAATTTTTATGGTTAAGAATTGCCTTTTTCTATTCTCTATTTACAAGAAAGAATTAACCAAACAAGTTAATGAGGCAAAAACAATTAGCAAACTTGTAAACACTTTTCACATATTGGTCATTATTAGTGACTAAGCTCTCATAATACCAGTGTAGTTAACTCATTAAATTCTAGGCAATGATACATTACCTTTTTAAATACAACTCCTTTTTAATTTTGTAATTCAGATTTCTAATTCAGACTGGGCCTTCTATGACCTATCCAAAATTAGGGTAGAGTTTCTCAAAATCATCTAAATCTCAAAAGAGTTTAGATACACTTAATTCTTCCATTTATCCCTGCCTGACCTGAGAACCCAGAATCAGAATTATAATGTAGCTAGTGGGCTTCCCCTTTTCATGCAGTCTAAGTTACATCATGAGCCATTTTGTATTCCCATGGCATGTAATCCTGAAAGTGCTTTCTCCTAAAATGTTGTATCTTTTTAGGCTTGAGCCATCTAATAACTTGGAATTTGTTTTATTATTTTTCACCTGCCTATTGGGCTTTTGCTTATCAGCAATAGAGGATATTGCTTTCACTCCATAGCATACTATTCTTCCTCTGTTGTATGTATAAATGTATGCTGCTTCTCAATTTTCCAGTTTTGAAAATGTTCTGTATGTACTTTTAGTTGTGTTAATAAAGTGACAGTGTCAGGCACCGTCTCTATCTAACTCATATTAACAGAGGTCAGTTTCTCAAGTACAGACTTTTCATATCTCACTTGATTATTATGAGGTAGAGAACTACTTATTTTTTACTTTTAGTTCTAGAAGTGATGTTCATCCTTTTTCTCTTTTGTTTTGTTTTATGTTACGTTGTCCCATTTCAGGAGCAATTATGTTTGCCTCTCCACATTTTAGAAGAGAAAGGTTTGAGCCAGGTGGCAGTGACCGTCCAGGCTCTCCTGGAACTTGCACCACCCAAGCAGCAGCAGCACCAACTATCTGCTGTTTAAGGACTCCCAGGACCTTGGCATTGGCCTGACCCAAACAAGGAGCAGGACAACGAGATTGCTGCTGTCAGCCGTCTGATATCAAACAAAGCTCTTAACGTGTTCTTAGAAGAAACTGTTTCCATGATTCCTACCAGGAATGTTTTACTTCATTTCTCCATTTTAGGGGAGGTTATGTCCATTTCCACTGATTTTTTTTTTTTTTTTTTTTTTTTTTGTTAAGACCCAGTTGGTTTTCTCACATGAAACTTCTCATTATTGAGAACCCAACACTGAAGTCTAAACTGGCTGTGCTTTCCTAGAGGCTTATTTCAAACACCACAGCAAATACCTTCTAAGATATTTGGCTCTCTTGAAGGCACAGACATGCTATTATCTTTACCAGTTCCCAAGACATCTAGGGAATTCTAAACAGCTATGCATTTAGAATTTCCTGTAGCATTTGTTAAAATACAGATTCACATTCACTAGGTCTGGGGTGAGGCCTGGAAATCTGTATTTTCAACACATTCCCACTTTTAATTAGTGGAGACTTCTGCTCCAAGCCAGATAGTTGTGTGGTTCTATGGAGGTACTGCCTGCCCCCTGCATTTTTCAGCCACATTTAAAAATCAAAAGCTATATTATGATGACATAGACTATTCTGTTAAAGGCAAAATTCAAATAATATAGAAGGCCTAGATTTTAAATACCTAAACAGAGAAACGATACTGTTGTATTTGAAGCCAGTGTACTAAGCCTCCCTCCAACTCCAGAGCCCATTACCACATCAACCTCTTCCTGAGGATGGTTCTGCGTATCATCCTGCTATTATCTAAACAAATAAGCACTCTATCCTGGGATTCCAAGTCCTTAAGCTGGTAACATGTACCACTCTGAATCATTTGCATGAACTTCAATGAGCCACCCTTAGCCCCAAGCTTCTCCCAGGACACCTGGACCTGCAGACACATTCTAGTCACAGCAGTGTAACACATCCAGCTCCCCACCTAATGGAAGATTATGAAAAAGCAAATGAAAAGGAAGAAAAAAGCCACATTCTTTATATTCTTACAGGTTAACTGCCAGTTTCCATGACTGAAAGAAAGCACTTAGGGCATCTTAAAAACTGCTTCCTGTCTTACCCTCACTGAGCTCCACCATTAGTGCCTTATATTCCCAATTGTGGGTGGAGGGAAAGGGCCACTGGCTCACACAACACAAAACCAGGAGCCTTTAATTCAAGTTTAAACCACATGGGTTTTTCTTCCCTGTATTTTGAGCCCTTTTTAGTTGTCAGCGATATCTTTTGGTGTTGACTGCCTTTGTAAACCAGATAAATAGAGTAAGTAAAGATACTAGTTATATAGGGATTTTTTTCTCTACTTATTAACTATTTTGGATTTTCTTTATCATTGCATGCATTTAACATCAATGTTTTCCTTTATCATGTGAATGCAGCATCTAAAAATAGTTTTGGACAAAATCATTTTGAGTATTTGGTCAAAATAATGTTTGTTTTTTCCTTATTCCTGCACAGATCTGGGTTCATTAGAACATTACCATTTTGTCCAAATTTAAAATTATGTACCATAGCCGGGCACAGTGGTGCACGCCTGTAATCCCTGTAGTTTGGGGGACTGAGACAGGCGGATTCAAAATTCAAGACCAGCCTTAGCAACTTAGCAAGGCCCTAAGCAACTTAGTGAGATTCTGTCTCAAAAATCAAAAGGGCTGGGGATGTAGCTCAGGAGCAAAGCATCCCTGGGTTCGGTCTCCAATACCAAGAAATATATATGCACACACACACATATGTATGCATGTGTATACATGTATATGTATACAACACAAAACCAGGAGCCTTTAATTCAAGTTTAAACCACATAAGTATGTATACATTCATACATATATACACACAAGTGTATATACAATATATATTTTGGCACTGGATATATATGGATATGTTACATATATACATAAAACACCTAAACTCCAAAGCCCAATCCTTCAAGGTCCTCACAGAACAAAAGTAAAAATGTCTTATAAGTGCTTAAGCCAGACCCCATTAGAGTTACAATTCCAAATAGACTCACCAACTATATAACTTGTTTAGCTGTGTTTTTTAACTACAGATATTTTTCCTTCTAGTCAACGTTGAACCATTAAATCTCAGTACAATCTCCAAATTGTAGACTTTAACATATTATATGGTGCATAAGTATAGAAGACATTACATAATGTAGCACTTGCAATATCTGCAACTAATTTTTCTATAGGAATAAGTGGAGCTAGATTTCAACTTATTTCAGATTTTGCACATAATATGAAACCTTGGTATATTTTTATCGAACTAATTCAAATTTGTATTTGAATTATTAGAAAAAAGGATGTACCGTTTTGACTGAGAATGAAGAAAAATATCAAGTATTGAATTTTTTCTGTGTTAGCATGCAAAAATCATGGCATTTTTGTTGGAGAATTTTTGTATAATGTTTCATTTGTACTTTTTGATTTTAAACTGGAAAGAACAATTCAGTTTAACATTCAACCTTGCTAGACTCCAATGTAAGATGAAAGTAGCCTTGTCACACTCCTTCCCAACCTGAAGCAGTGACCTTCCCACTACTGGAAGTGTGAACAGACCAAGTCCTACCTGGTGCAGCCCTTGCCACCTACAGAGATTTTATGTCAGCAGTTTCCAGGGTTCGAAATGCATCTCTGCTTAAACACTCCAAACCAATATTCTCTTGTAATAACTAGGTCTGGAAACATCTCGTGGGAGGAGGGGATTTTATCTGGCTAGAATACAGAGTAGGAAAAGGCTTAGTAGTAGGTCACTTTCTTTAACAGCTTTCTAAAATACAGCCTTACACCTAATCAAGGAGTCTATAATTTCTCTTGCTTCCTCCAGTCAGCAGTGACTAATGATGTGTGATGATACTGATGAGTCTGATGAATTTTTTTTTAACTAAGTTCTTAAGTGGTTATAGAAATGAAGGAAAACATGGATATTTAGAAGCCTTTTTTATATACACATTGCAGTGAGATGGTTTACAGCAGATTTCATTTTATTTCTGAAAATGTTACAAACATGTAATTAGTAAAAGATTTTGTAAAACATTGTCCTATATTTGTATGTAAATATATTGCATAAGTTCTAAGTATAAATATGTCGATATCATGTATGTTATTTTAAATTGCCTGTATGTCACCTTACACATTGACATTAAAATAAAAACCAACACTTTAGTAACTTGTAATAAACATTTGAAAGTGTGCATATCTAAAGTAGCTTGGTTTCTTTGGCAAAGAAGAATCAAGGAAAGGGTGTCTCTAAGTTCCCTGAAGGAACACCAATGAACATAATTTTATTAAAATAGGCCTTTAAAATTAAAATTTACTTTCCTAAGGAAGTGGAGATATCAAGACTTCCCTATAATTAGAGCTGGACATAAGGATTAATTCATGAAATATGTGACACATTAGGACAACTTTCCTCTCAGAAATGATCAGCTGCACTGTACCCAATATTTTGTTTTAATTAATCAAGGCAAGAATGACCTCTTGGTCTCATTGTTTGTTTGTTTTGTGGTGCTGGAGATTGAACCCAGGGCCTTGTTCATGCAAGGTAAGCACCCTACCAACTGAGCTATGTCCCCAGCCCTGTCTTATTGTTTTTTTAAGAGGGAGAATGACAGCTTTACTATGTGTCAGGCATAGGCTGGGTTTTTACATACTGCAAATTAGTCTTCCAGAAAACCTATGCCTCATCTTTACCATTTGTGGGCTATGTATTCTAACATTCCACTTCAATCTTGTATTTATAACTTATATCCCTACTTATTCCCAGAAAAGCTGTGGGAACAGTTTATTATAAGGTGTATATTCCATGCCACCACCAGCCATGAAAACACTAAAGTGATAATAAAAAATCTAAAGAGAGGAATCAACACTCATATTTTACCATGTGTATGTTATGCTACATAACTTTATAAAACATCACCTTGTAATTTCTGCAAATACTTCACTTTTGCTCATATGAGTTTTTTTCACTTTAGACAAATTAGAAAAAAATCAGAATCTGAGACATTACAGGAATTACTGAAGTTTTAATGCATCACTGTAACCAAGCCCAAGAACTCTTTTCTGGTGAGAAGACCAAGATCTTTACAAGTCTACTCAAAACTGTTCTTCACATCAAAATCAAAATATGAAGAAACACAAATTCAATAGCTAATTCACAGATTGAAAACTAATACAAAGTGAAATCATCTGGCAATCTGCATAAACTGTTGTTTATATCTGCATAAACAACCTGTAGTGAAGTATTTGTGATGGCCAAGTCTTCCTTCTCATCTCCAGAACATCACAGGAAGGGATAAAAGGTGGCTTATTCACTTCTTGCCTCTTCGTTTGTCCTTGTCTTTACCTTTACCTTTACCTTTACCTTTACCTTTACCTTTTGCATCCTTGCTATCATCTTTGTCTTTAGGCATTTTGAAACTTCCAATTTCCCTCCTTACCACAGTGCCTCGCCACCATGCCTGGAGCTAGAAGAGAAATGGGAAGAAGTACAACTCAGTATGCCTGACTCTCCGAAGGGGATTGTTCAACACAGTAACCTATATCAGAGTGGTTTCCATCTGAGACATGGAAGTTCCAGGCACACTATCACTACTAATGCTCCCATACTGTGCAGGACTCAGAGCTTCAGCCATGGCCTCAAAAGCGAAGTTCTTCTGGAGTAAAATTAAATCAGATTAGGCCAGTTGTTCCTTCATATCAGAAACATGACTCCCTGGTACTGCTTCCCTTATGAAGGTCCAAGCTTCCCATACCTAACAATGACTTGAGCCAAAAGGGATGTTAAACTCTGTCAAAAATGTATGAATAAGTCTAGACAACTTTAATAGACTTCCTGGTATTTTGTCTTTTCGGGGTGGGGGGGGGTCTTGTTTTCTTTCTTTGTAGTGTTGAATGGGAATTGAACTCAGGGCCTTGCACATACTGGGTAAGTGCTGTACCACTGAGCTACATCTTCAACCCTTTGTTATTTTGAAAGTCTTGTTAAATTGCTGAGACTGGCCTCAAACTTGTGATCCTCCTGCCTCAGCCTCCTAAGGAGCTGGGATTACCGGCATGCACCACTACATCCATTCTTATCTTTAGGAATTCACTAAAGGGTCAATCCTCTTGTTATCAAAAAGAATTTAAAGCCAGGTGTGGTGACATAAACCTATAATCCCAGTGACTCGGGAGGCTGAGGCAAGATTATTACATGTTCAAAGCCAGTCTCAGCAACTTAGTGAAGGCCTAAGCAACTTAGGGATTCAATTCCTAGGACCAAAAATAAAGTCTACACTACTTTATTTTTTGGAGGGTACCAGGGATTGAAATCAGGGGCACTCAACCACTGAGCCACATCCCCAACCCTATTTTATATTTTATTTAGAGACAGGGTCTCCTTGAGTTGCTTAGCACCTCACTGTTGCTGAGGCTGGCTTTGAACTTAGGATCCTTCTGCCTTAGCTTCCTGAGCCACTAGGATTATAGGTGTGTACCACCACGCCTGGCTTAAGCTACTTTAAAATCAGACTAAGCCCTAAGAACTAGGAGCAAATCTACTAATTAAAACAAAAGTAGTCTCCAGCTAGTTCTTACATTTATACTCTAAAAGTATTTTGACAAATTGGAAAACCCCATAAAAGCTTGATAAATACTTGCTAATTATACATCTTGGGTTTGGATATCTGAATGTCCTTTACAGCCTCCTTTTTTATTGCATCCTCTAATATATAAGCCAAACTATAGTTTGCCCCCTAGGCTCTTGGCAGATGCTCCTCTTTCAGAGAGATGGATGATTCTCCAGACAGCAGTTTCAGTCCAGCTGATCATATTTTATATTACAGTTTTCTTGAAAATATTTCCCAGAATCTGTGACCTTCTAATTTTGTCATTACTAACATACACAAAAATTCATATATAACTAAAATATCTCTTCTTTAACCTGCTTATCTCTTTTTTTGAAAGCAGCTTATATCAGAACATAGCAAATAGTCTCTGCTTATTTAAAAACATCTTTTTGAGATAACAATAGGCGATTCAAAAGAACATTGTGTCAAGAACTGGTTTTGGTTAGAAGTAGTATTCCCAAATTTTCCCTGTGGATCTAGGTTTTGCTCCCACTGCCAACCACCTATCTCTTTTGCTCTAGAATAAGAGCTGTGGTGTGTCCTTTTCTAAGTCACCTGTCTCCCTTTTCTGCTCTATGGACTGTTGACAAATTCTAATAAGAACAAAAAGCCTTGTTTCTCTTCAGATCTGTTCCATAGAAAGCTGCTGTGTATTTGATAATGGATGAGAATGCTTTCATTCCTACATCAGCTATGGCACTAACATGACCCCAAAATGCTAACTACAGTTTTCTACCTTTATGGCACTCCTCAATTCCAATTCATCCTGTTCTATCTTCTTCCTGGTCTTCTCCTTTTCTATACGATCTTCAATGATGACCTGTTCATATTCCCTTATCTACAAAAGCAGATATTAATCATATGTTACAGTATGGTCTTGACTAAGCTATTGGCCCAGTCAACTCTGTACTTTTAATAGATCTAAACATAAACCAAAGGTAAAAAACTTCCTAGATTCTTAGGATATTTACATTAAATTTTTTTCAGTTTGATATTTTAAATTTAAAAATCTTTCAGAAAAGTGAAATAATAATTAACTCAAATGTGTAAATAGTGACCTCAAAATAATTAGATTTTTTTTAAAAAATGGTATAATATGCATATTTAAATGGCTCTTTTAAAAGAGAAGTTTAGGAACCTCTACACTCATTCATTAATAAAAACATAAGAAAGCTTTTTAGAAATCAGAGAAATTCAAAATGGGGAAGAGAGGAAGAGCATGAGAAGATTACCTCTACATAGGGAAGAGGGGTGGGAGGGAAAGGGAGGGAAAAAAGGAACTGCATGGATGGTGGAAGGAGACCCTCATTGTTATACAAAATACATGTATGAAGATGTGAGGGGAAAAAAAGAATAGCGTTACCCTAGATTAGGGAGAGAGAAGTGGTGGGAGGGGAGGGGAGAGATTTTGGAGATAGGAAGGATAGTAGAATGAAACAGACACTATTATTACTGTGTGTATATATGTGAATGCATGACCAATGTGATTTCTGTATACTCAGAAAAATGAGATATTGTATCCCATGTGATTCAAATGTATGATATGTCAAGGTCATTGTACTGTCATGTGTAACCAATTAAGACAAAAAATTTTTAAAAAAGAAATCAGTTATAAATTGTCTTCAGAGACCATAAAGTAGAAGTAATAGTACAATATCAATGTATTTTGCAGGGTTGTGAGGTTTAAGCAAGTTGTACTTAAGACAGCCACAACAGTCAGTGCCTGAAATAGAGTAAGCACTATACAAATGCTAGCTGTTATTACTGTCCATCATCACCATCATCATCCTCTAAGGACAGTCCTACCAAGTTTACATGCACACCTCTACCTGACAAAAAAAAAAAAAAAAAGCATCCCCAACTACTGTAGCTTAGCTACCACCACTTCTCGGACCACCTGTCCACCTCTTCCTTACCATCTTCGCTAGGTCTTGAAGGTGTGTTAAGTCACTGGCCTTTGCAGCCTTGAGAGCATTTAATTCATTCTGTTTCATTTCTGTGTCTTTATCAAATTTTTCCATCCAGAATTCCAGTTTCTCCTCAAGTTTCTATTTGGAAAAAAACATTAAAACATGGTTTCTACCAGATACAAAACAGTATATACTTTATGATGTCATTTATATAAGATTCAAGAAAAAAAATAACTTTTCTATAGTGACAGAAAATAGAACAAGGGTTACTTATCTGGGGATGGATGCTTTATTGTTTGGAAATGTGGCATGAGGGAGACCTCTGGGATGCTGTTTCTCTGAATCTAGGTGTGCTGAGGGCCATTACCAAGTAGGAATGACGCATCGAAATTTCCTTGCCAAGCGTACCCCATGCTGCTTAGAGGACATTTGATGGAACATTGCATGCATGCTTTAATAAGGTGACCTTGCTCAAGGACCAAGGCGGATTCGGGTTTAGAGCTGATCAGGTTTGAGGAAGTAACCAGCTCCTTGAGTTTAAGGCGTTGCCAGTTTAAGATAATGGGTTTTAGGGAAGTTGGAAGTTGAAGATTATTGCTGGGATTAGGGTGTTCCTGCTGCTTGTTCCCATTGAGTTCTCGTGAGATTAAAATGGGATTTGGAGAGAGCCTCATGGGATTTGGAGAGAGCCTCGTGGAGTAGGTGAATTGTGCGGGAGACGGCAGAACGGTTTTGCCCCTGGACCTGTGTGGAGGCGGTGTGAGAGCGGGAATAAAGAATTGCTGTTTGAACCTACAAAGCTGTGTGGTGGCTCGTGATTCTGGTGCCAAGCCGAGACATTGGCTTTGGCATAGCTGGTGGTTACATGGGTGAATATATGTAAATGTAAAATTATACTCTCAATATTTGTGCACTTTACTGTATATTATTCGATTAAAAATAGAAAGAGGACGTTCCTGATATCTGGGAAAGGGAAGTTGCAGTGAAAAAAAAAAGAAAAAAGTAAGTAGCAAATTCTCTAGGATAAAGAATGACATCAGATGTCTCTTTGACTGACAGCCACTAAATACTAGTCAAGAAGACTGTAATGTCTTCAAAATTCTAAAAGAAATGAATATGAGTCTAAGAAAATATACCTAGAACCTAGCATTGAAATGTGATGGAAAGATGATACCTCATTTCTGAAAGGTATTCAAAGATGCACTGTTGCAAAAGAAAATGAAAGAGATATGTATAAAAAACAGAAAATGTATATTTAAGCTATTTGCCACCAGTTAGATACTAAGAGTGGACATCCTTGTCTTTCCTCAGATTATAAAAGAAATGCTTTCAGTTTTCCCCCATTTACTATGAAGTTGGCTTTGAGTTTTTCATTATACCCTTTATGATGTTGAGATAGGTTTCTTCTATTCCTAGTTTCTTCAGTGTTTTTATCATGAATAGATGTTGAATTTTTGTCCAACACTTTCTCTGTATCTCTTTAGAGATTAGGTGATTTTGTCCTAACTTGTATTTATGTGATGAATTACACTTATTGATCTACATATGTTAAACCATCCTTGCATCTCTGAGATAAAACCAACTTTGTCCACTCTCACTACTCCTATTTAATATAGTGGTAGAAATTCTAGCCAGAGCAATTAAGCAAGGAAATAAAAAGTGCATCCTTGTTTCGGCTGGCTGAATCCCTGTTTATTTGCTCTGTGATGTACACTAAATTTGGGGGCTTTTGACCCCCCCTCTTTCAATCCTTATCAGCTACCACCAGATTTTTCAGTGACGTCATTTACCACCAACTGGTATGGTGGTCTCCACCCTGACCTTCTCACCTTTTTCTCTTATCAGGACAGCCTGCCAGGGGCTTCACTCTGTTATCAGAGTGAGGGGAAGTAACTTGCCTGAGGGCATACTGGAGGGCTCTGTGAGTGTGCCTGCAGGTCTTTTAAAATTAAGTTTTTAAAATGGAGTTGCTTAGGCTTAGGCCTAAGGCCATCCTAACAGGACTGCACATTAGTACAATCACTATGGAAATCAGTATGGAGGTTTCTCAAAAGACTAGGCGTGGAACCACCACATGACCCAGCTATACCACTCCTTAGTATTTATCCTAAAGAATTAAAATCATCATATTAAAATGATACATGCATGTGTATGTTTATAGAAGCACAATTCACAATAACCAAACTATGGAATCAGCCTCAGTGTCAATGGAGGAATGAACAAAGAAAATGTGGTAGATATTTACAGTGGAGTTTTATTCAGCCATAAATAAAAATGGAACTATGTAATTTGCAGGACAATGGATAGAACTAGGGACAGTTATGTTAAGGTCAAAAATCATGTTTGAGGGCTGGACTTGAGGCTCAGTAGTAGAGCATTTGCCTCACGCGTGTGAGGCACTGGGTTTGATTCTCAGCACCACATATAAATAAATGAATAAAGGTCCATCAACAATTTATATATATATATATATATAAAATATATGTATATAATATATTATTGAACTTGTGATCTCTCTGTCTTTTAGCCTCCTAAATAGTTGGGATTATAAGCATGCACCACCATATCCAATTTATAATATCTTCTTGTTTTTTTATTATACATATATAAATAAAATCATGTTTGAGGCAGGCTCCTGGCAGTGCCACTTCTGACATCAATGCAAACCAGAAGAAAAAGTTTCTTCCTCAGAAGCCATGGCATATTAGTTATACAGAAATACCACTTTGGGGAACAGTCTTCAGGAGAGCCTAGATGAGCTCATATAGTCTCAACAGATCATCCCCCCAACTTGCCCTTCAAGTTCTGCTTCAGTTTGATAAGGCTATAAATTATCATTGGCTCAGAGGGTCAGGAACAGAGTCAATTTCAGAGGTTCTGTAAATACATACAGATTCTGCGATAATGTGTAGACTTGTATTGCATGATGTTGAATTCAGAGAGGTGACAGAACTTATTAAAATGGATAAAGTGAAAATTGCAGCCTGTGATGGTAAAAATACTGGCTCCAATACTACAGAATAAATAGAAAAAAAATGGACTTTTTCAGGCCATCTTCTGTTATTATTCATCACTTTTTAAAGAGAAGCAAAGAAGAGACTTTTTAAAAATTTATTCTAGCATTGCATAAATGATTACACTGTACTGTACTATGAGAGAATTCCAGCAAAAAGAAGCTTGTAACTATATTCTCTTACATTACATTGTTATATAGCATAAAGAAACATAATTTTTTTAATGACAAAAGTTGTTGCCTTCTTAACATTCTTTTTTTTTTAAGAAAGAGGGAGAGAGAGAGAATTTTAATGTTTATTTTATTTTTTTTTTTTTTAGTATTTGGCGGACACAACATCTTTGTCTGTATGTGGTGCTGAGGATCGAACCCTGGCCGCACGCATGCCAGGAGAGCGCGCTACTGCTTGAGCCACTTCCCCAGCCCCTTCTTAACATTCTTTAATAAACTCATTATTTAAAAAAGAATCAGAGGCTGGGGTTGTGGCTCAGTTGTAGAATGCTCACCTAGCTTGCATGAGGCACTGGGTTCAATCCTCAGCACCACATAAAAATAAAATAAAGATATTGTGTCCACCTACAACTAAAAAATAAATATTAAAAATTTATTAAAAAAGAATCATATGTTTTCTTTCATGTGGAAGCTAGGGAAGGAAAAGGGAAAGGATTGGGGGGGGGGATTCCCCATGAAAAGGGAAGATTAGAACAGAGCAAAGGGATAATGGAGGAGGAAGAGGGGAGTTGGGGGAAGTGCTGGGGAGTGACACTGGCCTAATTATATATATTGTGTGTATGTACGAATTTGTACAAAAAAATTCCCACCATTATGTACAATGTACAGCTATAATGCACCAACAAAAATGTATAATAAAAAATAAGAAGATATTATAAATTGGTTATGGTGGTGCATGCCTGTAATTCCCAACTATTTAGGAGGCTAAAAGATAGGGAGATCACAAGTTCAAGGCTGGTTTTGGCAATTTAGCAAGACCCTGTCTCAAAATAAAATAAAAAGGGCTGGGTGTTTGGCTCAAAGTTAGATGACCTCTGGGTTCAATCCCCAGTATCACCAAAAATTTTTTTAATTTAAAAATATTATAGTTATGAGTGTTAATATTCTAATAATATTTTGGAATATTAGAAAGTGAAAATGATCCAACATATGGAAAAACTGATAGATCCACAATTATCTTAGGAAGCTATTTTTCTGAAATCAATAGCTCAAGTAGACCAAAATAAGTAATATGAAGCATTTGACAGCCAGACTAAAAGAAATTTAGAACCTAACAGAGAATATACATTCTTTTCAAGTACCCATAGAATAGTCACATAAGCATGTACTAAGCCCAAATGAAAGCTCAATAAATTCCAAGAAGCAAATTTACACTTTACATTAGGAGACACAATCCAAGACATCAACTGGGTGTGGTGAGATTCACAGCACAAACATCTAAGGTTTTTGTGAGTAACAGAAAATCTGCACTCCTCCCTTGCCAACTCCATCTACTTGGACATTTAAGAAACATCCCTTTAGGGGCTGGGGATGTGGCTCAAGCGGTAGCGCGACAGTGTGCAGCCCAGGTTCGGTCCTCAGCACCACAAAGATAGCACCACATACACTGCTAAACTAAAAAATAAATATTAAAAAAATTCAAAAAAAGAGAGAAACATCTCTTTAAACAATAACTTTTGCTAAAGACAACTAGAAAATTGTGAACTACAAATCATTTGTAAAGGAATGATAATGTAAAGATTATTTTAAAACCCATCAACTACAATCAAACAGTACTCAGAAAATATATTGTTTTATTAAAAATATACTGCTTTACATGCATTTACTAGAAAATAATAAAATTTGAAAACAAATTGTTTAGGAAACAACAAAGATTAGCAACATAAGCTCAAAGAAGGTATAAGAAATTTACTCATAATTAAAGCCAAAACCAATGTAACAAGGAAAAAAAAAATCTGCTCAATAAAAGAAAAAGCCAGTCTTTTGCTAAGACCAATAAAATGGCAAACCTGTGGTAAGTTTCAGTAAGACAAAGGGAGAAAAGAAATGAAATTTTTAAAGATGAAAAATATAACTACAGAAATAGAGGAAATTTAAAACTTGCAAGAGACTGTAGAGCACAGCTTGAAAACACTTAAAATCAAGTGTTTTGGGAAGACAAGTTACAAAAAATTACTCAAAGCCAGACATGGTGGCACACAACTCCAATCACAGCAACTCAGGAAGCTAAGGCAGAAGAGTCAAAAGTGTGAGGTCATCCTCAGGAACTTAGTGAAACACTGTCTCAAAACAAAAAAATAAAATAAAATGGACTGGGAATATAGCTGAGTGGTTAAATACCCTGGGTTCAATACCCTGTATCAAAACAAAAACAAAAAACCTGGAGATGCAGCTCAGTTTTTTATAGAATGCTTCCCTTGCATGCACAAGGCCCTGGGTTCGATCCCCAGCACCAAAATAAAAACAAGATTTTCGGTGGGCTGAGGTTATGGCTCAGTGGTAGAGCCCTTGCTGCACATGGCTGAAGCACTGGGTTTGATTCTCAGCACCACATGTGAATAAATGAATAAAATAAAGTCCATTGGCAAATAAAAAATAAAAACCTTTTTAAATAAATAAAGATACCAGTCATTGGTGACATATCTTTAAAAGAGAGAGAGAAGAGAGAAAGAGATTTGGTAAGTAGAGAGATGAATAATATTTTTTTTAAAAAAAGCTGAAAAGGCAGACAAATACCTCCCCCCTTAAAAAAAAGATATCAAGATAGAAAGAGAGAGATCCTTAAAAAATTGTTTGAATTTTACCAAGCTTTAAGGACTGTATAATCTGTTTTGTTCCATTTATATTTTAAATTTCAGAGCATAAAAAGGTAGAAAACTTCCACCTTGCACTGCGCCAAGCTAATATAACTCTAATAGCAAAAAAGAAATCTATAGTCTATAAATCAATTCTAGAGGTCTATTATTAAATGTATTAATTTATTATATATTAATATATTAACTATATTAAATTATTACCAGGTAAGGTTTATCCAAAAAAAATAAACATGAGTCATCATCAGTAAATATATTAATGTGTTTTTACTTTATTAACCTGTTAAAGGGAAAATAAATTATCTCAATGGATGAAAAAAGTCATCTCATAAAATTGACTATTCATTGATTTTAAAAAATAAAAAATGTTAGCAAGAAACTTCCTTAATAAAATTTATATACCAGGAACCTACAGAGTAAACCTCATCCTTAATGATAAAAGGAAAACATTCCCCATTTGTGCTGTTATCAGTGTGTTGCCTCTCAGTTCCAAATTCATCCTCCACTGCCTTGCCCTGTGAAACTGGATGATCCTAAACATTTTTCGGCCACCTAGCAAAATGTTTAACTTTGTCAGCAGAGGGTGCTAGAGGACCCGACAGGAAGTCTAGTTTCTCCATGGCTTTGGAATGCTTTTCTGGGTACCTAGGGCACACTGCTCATCCTATATGGTTGAACACACAATGATACCCGTTCACCAACATGTTTTACTGATACCACCAGTAGCATTACTTCATGTCAGATACACTATGACCAGCTATGGCTGATCTCAAGAGTTTAAAGATAATGCAACCTCAGGGGCTGGGGTTGTGGCTCAGTGGTAGAGCTCTTGCCTGGCACATGTAAGGCCCTGGGTTTGATCCTCAGCACTACATAAAAATAAATAAAAATGAAACAAAGCCATCAAGGTGGCACACACCTATAATCCCAGAGACTCGGGAGGCTGAGACAGGAGGATGACAAGTTCCAGATAACAGCCTCAGCAATGGCGAGGTGCTAAGCAACTCAGTGAGACCCTGTCTCTAAATAAAAATACAAAATAGGGCTGGGGATGTGTCTCAGTGATTTAGTGCCCCTAAGTTCAATCCCCAGTACCATAAAATAAAATAAAACAAAGGTATTATATACATCTGTAACTTAAAAAAAAAAACAATTTAAATACATGACTCAACTTCAGCAAATATATGAAAAAAACATCATTGGTACCAGAAATGGAGTTTATCTCCCACCTTCTAGTTCATGTCTTACTAAAAGTCATCTAAACTCTTGCTACTCCTTGTTCATCAGATACAATCAGCATAATGTCATTAATGCAGAGGGCTACTGCCATGTTTTGTGGAAAGTCAAAGTAAGCAATCTCTATGTAGGCCATTACAGAAGAGAACAGAATAATTGACATAATCCTGAAATCAGATTATAAAGGTGTACCATTGGCCCTGCCAAGTGAAAGCAAACTGCTCCTGGTGGTGTCTTTGTTGTTGTTGTTATTTTGTATGTGTGTGCATTTTGTTGTTATGGTTGATTTCAAACTGGTTTGGAGACAGGGGCCTTAATCAGGTTAACAACTTTCATACCAAGTACCAGGAGCCATTGAAGATTTGTCCCAGTAAAGATACTATGTGTGAATAGTAGTTACAAGCAACATCACTACTTGATTACTTGTCATTTTCCAAGATCCATTCAACCTCTACCCAAGCCAAACAGATGAGTCAAATGGGGGTGTGTTAAGCATCATCACTCCTGCTTCTTTCAAGTTTTTTGTATTTTTTTTTCCTTGTAGCAGGGATTGAACTCAGGAACACTTGACATTGAGCCCCATCCCCAGCCCTATTTGGTATTTTATTTCGAGACAGGGTCTCACTGAGTTGCTTAGCGCCTTGCTTTTGCTGAGACTGGGTTTGAACTTGCAATCCTCCTGTCTCAGCCTCCCAAGCCACTGGGATTATAGGCATGTGACACCAAGCCCAGCTTCAAGTTCTTGATGTTATCTCTAATCTACGGTTCCATCAGGGTTGCAGCAATGCCTTTAATATATTGGTAAGAAAAGGAAGTCCCAGGACTCCCACACTTTGCCCTTACTATCATAATGGCCTGAAAGTACGTTTATTCCAATTATACATCTATAAAACAATTATATACAATTATAAAGTTATACAATTATATCTACATTTATAAAACTAGGAATGGAACCACCATTTGACCCAACTATCCCACTCCTTGATTTATACCCAAATGACTTAAAATCAGCATACTATAGTGATGCAGCCACATCAATGTTTTTAGCAGCTCAATTTGAAATAGCTAAGCCACAAAACCAACCTGCTCTTCAACAGATGAATGGATAAAGAAAATGTGGTACATATACACAATGGAATATTACTCAGCCTTAAAGAAGAATGAGATTATGGCATTTACAGATATATGGATGGAGCTGGAGAATATCATGCTAAATGTAATAAACCAATACCAAAAAAACAAAGGCCTAATGTTTTCTCAGATAAGCAGATACTGATCCATAATGGGGGTGGGGGGAGAATGAAAGAACTTTGGATTGTGCAGAAGGGAGTGAGATGAGGGCAGAGGGTATAGGGATGGAAGGACAGTGGAATGAGACAGACATTATCATCCTGTGTATACATACATGTATGATTACAACACTGGTGTGACTCTATAACATGTGCAGCCAGAGGAAGGAGAAGTTGTGCTCCATTTGTGTACAATGTGTCAAAATGCATTCTTCTGTTATATATAACTAATTAGAACAAATTTTAAAAATTTAAAAAAGACTGTAATAACATAAACAATGAATGAGAAAACAATTGGTAACTTAAAAAAAGAAAACTTCCCTCAATTGAGAATGTTGTTTTTATAATTTAAAAAATTAAAAAACATTTTTTAAAAATTATGTCTACAAAGCATTATAGAAACAAGAAACAGAGTTTCTTATATAAGTTAAATTATAAAGGCAAGAGACAAAATTTTACCTGTCCTCAAATTAGAGGTATATAAAATAACTATTCAACAGTGGAATGAATCTGAGATAATTTTTTCATATACATATATGAAAACAATAGAGTGAAGCCCACATCGTGTACACCCACAAGAATGCAACCCAAATTAGAATATTCTATGCTTGTATAATTATTATCAAAAAGGATTCTACTGTCATGAATAACTAAAAAAGAACCAATAAATTTTAAAAAAGAAGAACAAAAAAAATAACTGTTCTGGTGAGTAACTCTGTAAGGATATATAAGCTATAGTTCATTCATTAGACTGCTAAGATTATGGTTAATTTTTCTTCCCTTACTACAAGTTTTTTGCTCTTTTAAAGTGAAAAAAAAAATTTTAATCAGGGGATAAAAACATTTTGGTGACTTACCTGTTGCTCTTTTCTAAGGAACATTTCAATCTCCATATGAATTCGGTTCTCTTCTTCAGTTTTCATTCTTAATTTCTAGAAAAACAAGAATCATATATCAGGAATTCTGTCTGGCAAGGTTGGAAATCAGAAGTTTTCAGGTGACTACGGCTCCAGAGTAGCAGTTAGGATTCTTTTTCCAGCAGGGATCCCAGAAATGCTAATGCATTGCTCCAGAGCTGCAATTTGGTTCCACTCAACTCCATTCGAGTTGACAAACAACACAGAGCCATGTCCTAGCATTGTGCCAGGTACATACAAGGGCCCCAGAATAAAATGGAAAGAGATGTCAATTTAAAGAACAATGCTTCAAGGACCCAAGTTTCTTAGGCCCAGAAAAGTGTGTTGACAGGGTTGGAAACACCACATGGGAAGGACCTCTCCCCATTAGTAGAGGTCTCAGAAAAAGGAATCCTTGTACCTGCTAGTAATGGCTATTCCTCCTTCTGGCCTGCTGGCTATTCTTTTAACTACCCAGCCTTTCCTCTCAAATAAAGGTCTACCCATCAGAATCTCTGCTTGCAAATATTCAAAACCTTGTTTAGTCTTTAATTTCAACCCTAAGGGTTGAGGAGATGGAAAAAAATTACCTCTGCCCCTTCCTTTCTTGGGTGAGACTATACCAGGAATGACAATTCAAATGGTTGTCTATGAGTAAGGGATTGAACCCAGGTCCTGGTGCATGCCAAGCAAGTGCTCTACCATTTTGCTACAACCCCAACCAATCTGTTTTTTCCTAATGTAGCAATAATTACCTCAATCTCTTCCAACAAGAGTTCCTCTGTTTTGTTACATTTTTTCTGGGTCTGGGAAATCTGAAGCTCAGTGTTTTTTTTCATGTAGAGATTCTCCAAGTTGGTTTTTGCCTTCATCTCTTGCAATTGGTCTTTGAGGTGAGCAATATATTCATTCCGTCTCTTAAGAGAAAAGACCAGGTTTCTAAATTAAAAATCTATACTATCAAAAGTGTTATACATGTTTAATGCAATTCCTATTAAAATCCAATGTCATTCTTCATAGAACTAGAAAAAGCAATCATGAAATTCATTTGGAAAAATAAAAGACCCAGAATAGCTAAAGCAATCCTTGGCAAGAAGAGTGAAGCAGCAGGGCTGGGGTTGTGGCTTAGTGGTAGAGTGCTGGACTGGCACACGTGAGGCACTGGGTTCAATCCACATAAAAATAGATAAAGTAAATGTACTGTGTCCATTAACAACTACTATATATATATTTTTTTTTAAAAAGTCAAGCAGCAAGCAACACAATACCAGAAATTAAATTATATTATAGGACTATAGTAACAAAAATGGCATGGTATTGGCACCAAAATACACACGTAGACCTGTTATACAGAACAGAAGGCACAGAGACAAACCCACATAAATGCAGTCATCTCATTTTAGACAAAGCTGCCAAAAACATACATTTGAGAAAAGATAGCCTGTTCAACAAATGGTGCTGGGAAAACTGGAAATTCATGTGTAGCAAATGAAATTAAACCCCTCTCACCATGTACAAAACTCAACTCAAAGTGGATAAAAGACTTAGACACTACAACAGAGGCCCTGTGCCTAATAGAAGAAAAAATAGGCCCAAATATTCATCATGTTGGCTTAGGACTTGACTTCATTAACAAGACTCCAAAAGCATAAGAAGTAAAATCAAGAATCAATAAATGGGATGAATTCAAACTAAAAAGTTTCTTCTCAGCAGTGAAGTGAAGAGAGAACCACATTTTGGGAGCAAATTTTTGCCATACGCACGTCAGTTAGGGCAATAATCTCCAGGATATATAAAGAACTCAAAAAACTTAACACCAAAAAAAAAAAAAACCCAATCAATAAATGGGCGAAGGAACTGAACAGACACTTCTCAGAAGAAGATATACAATCAATCAACAAATATATGAAAAAAATGTTCAATATCTCTAGTAATTAGATAAATGCAAATCAATAAGATTTCATCTCATCCCATGTCAGAATGGCAGTTATCAAGAAGACAAACAACAATAAGTGTTGGTGTGGATGTGGAAAAACAAGCACATTCATACATTGCTAGTGGAACTGCAAATTGGTGCAACCACTCTGGAAAGCAGTATGGAGATCTCTCAGAAAACTTTGAATGGAACCAACATATGATCCAGCTATCGCACTTCTCGGTTTATACCCAAAGGACTTAAAATCAGCATACTACAGTGATGCAGTCACATCAATGTTTATAAAGGCTCAATTCACAAGAGCTTACCTAGGTACCCTTCAACAGATAAATGGATTAAAAAAAAAATGTGAAACACACACACACACTCACACACACAATGGAATATTACTCAACCTTAAAGAATGAAATTATAGCATTCACAGGTAGATGGACAGAGCTGGAGAATATTATGCTAAGCAAAATAAGCCAATCCCAAAGAAACCAAAAACCAAATGTTTTCTCAGATAAGCAGATGTTGATCCATAATGGGAGGAGGATAGGGAAGAATGGATGAACTTTAGATTGGGCGGAGGGGAATGAGAGAAAAGGGGAAAGGGTTAGGAAGGATAGAGAAATGAGACAGACATTATTACCCTATATACATGTATGATTACACCACAAGTGTGACTATGCACCATGTACAGCCAGAGGAATGAGAGGTTGTGCTCCATTTGTGTACAATGTGTCAAAATGCATCCTAGTGTCATGTATAACTAATTAAAACAAATTTTTTTAAAATAAAATATATATATATTCTGTCTCCATTCAGTTTGGTCAGTGGTTTAAGATTATTTTAAATTTTATAAATCACCATTTTTTTCTGCCATCACATGAAGGTAAATTAAGTCAATAATTGTTGAGGGCCCCAGCAAACTTCCAGCTGCCAGCTGATGATTGGCTCACAGCGGCCCCAGCAACTTCTAGCTGCCAACTGATTGGCTCCTCTGCGGTGATGCTCATTGGGCTGTTTCCCTGCCCTTTCAGACCACGGAGCTGCTCATTGGGGGACTTTTTTGGCTCCGCCCACGCGACCCAGCCAATCGGCCTCAAGAGCAGGAGGAGTGGGGGAGGTGGAGAGGCTTGTGGAAAGCCGGTGGTGGCAGTTGGGCTCTGAAGGTTTTTCCTGAGGAGCTGTTTTGCTTGGCGTATGTGGTTCTAAAAATAAAGTTCATTTCTTTTGACAAGTGGCTCCTGAATTGTGCCCAGCCAGACTGCTGCAAATAATTGTGAATGTTATACCATCCACATGAAAATGAAAGATAACAAAGTAGTTCTACATGTCAAGACAATGAGATTATTTCATAAGTATACAATCTGGGTACTCTCTTTTTCCCACACAGATTTCCCATTATAATTTCATTTTGATAGAAACAGCAATGATCAAAATGATCAAAAGTGCTGACTTCCCACCCAAGCCCCATCACTTGTGTGACCTTAGCCAAGACAGTTAAACTCTCTAGGTTTTACCTTCTGTAAAACAGAAACATTAATATTTATGTTGCCTGAAACATCTCAGAGAATAAATCCAGTCAAGCCTCAGTATGCACTGGGGATTGGTGCCAGGACATCTCATGAATAATAAAATCTCCAGATGGTCAAGTCCTTTTTACAGTATGTGTACAGTACATGTGCAATTATTTTTCAAATATTTTTTATACATGATCGGTTGAGTCCATGGATACAGAACCTGCAGACATAATGGGATGACTATATAAGGAGTCATTGAGCATAAGTGTGAAAACTGCAGGTTATGAAATACTTAGTAATTTTAAGGTCTCAGTATTCATAAAGGGAAATATTTATTCAGAGTCAGGCCCTAGGCTAGGAGACAAACAGTAGACATCTAAATATAGCCATATCCATCCCCTGCCCTAGTAGAGCTTAAGAGGTTTTGTTGTTGTTGTTGTTGTTTTTCCTGAGGATTTAACCCAGGGGTGATTTAGCACTGAGCCACAACTCAGCCCTTTTTATTTTTTATTTGAGACAGGATCTCACTAAGTTGCTTAGGGCCTCAATAAATTGCTAAGGCTGACCTTGATCTTTAGGCTTCCTAAATAACTGGGATTACAAGTATGTGCCACCATGCTCAGCTATGAAGTTTAGAGTCTAATAGAGAATATACAGTTAAAAGAAAATAAAATGTGTAAACTTATTTAAATGAGTGCAAAGTAGTATGAAAAAAAGGGCAAAGGCTATGGGAGAAAAATAATAGATATCTATGTTAGACTAGGTAGCTTGAGAAGGATCTTTGAGAAGCAATATTTGTTCTAATATTTGAAGGATAAATAAGTTCATCACATGAAAAATGTCGCCAAGAGGAATTACCTAAACAAAGAAAAGTATATTCCAAAGTCCTGAGGCAGCCAAGACCTAGACACATTCAAAACCCTTCAGTTAGGATTTAGAGTGGGACAAGATGAAATTGGAGAAATAGGCAAGACTAAACCAAGCAGGCTCTTATTAAGAAATTTAGGTTTTATTCCAAGTGCATGGGAATCCTTGGAAAAGTTCTAGTCAGAGATGTAACATCTGTTTGAAAAGAAAGTGTGAGTTAATTTCACAGAGAGGTAATCAGATTTAGCTGATAGCACAAGCAAATATACAATTAATTACAAAAACACATGACTAAGCTAGGCTTGTTGGTGCACACCTGTATCCCAGTTTTTCAGAAGGCTGAGGCAGGAAAATCGCTTGAGATTAGGAGTTTGAGGCCAGCCTGAGCAATATAGCAAGACCCTGTCTTTGGGTGTGGGTTATGGATCCATGAATTCATCAAAGATCTGTTTCTCTAGACAGCAACCACCTTACCATGTAAGCTGGATAGAATTAGTTGTAAGTAACTACTTGAAAAATAAACAAAACAAAAATTGATCAAAATCATCCATAATAAAAAGCAAACAGCTAAAAGGATCATAGGTCCCTAGGATTAATCAGAAAGCAATCTTTCACATTATTTTGTCTGGCTTCTTGATGTTACTGTATAGAATTGTTCAACTATAACAAGAACCATCCCCAGGACACAAGTGTCTATGGCAGAGAAGCCCAGTGGATAATATGTCTCAGTATTTTATAAACTGTAGGATTATAATAAATTATTTGACCTCTCTAAGCCTATTTTCTCATCTGTAAAATCCTGCTTAGGGCCTGGCATAACTTAGATGTTCTGTACATGTATATTAAATGAATTTTAAGAGCTCTCTCTTCAGGCTCATGTTTTTTTCTTATTCTTCTCTTTTCTCCCTTTCCCTCCCTTCTATTTCCAAATTGTATGGCAGTTATTAATGAGGTTTGAATCTCTAGGAAGGTTCATGTTAAAGTGAAAATAAGGTGATTTCATTTCTTCATCAACAGGAGTCTTTTTACCTATTTAATCCCTTGGCTTTTTTCCAGGTCTAGCTTACACATCACTTAAAGACATAAATCCTCTTCCAGAAAAGCTAAGCCCACATAACTAACTATAGTTTTGTTTTTCACAGAACCTAATAATGTTGGACAGTTAGGTGTTCATTAAATAATGTCCCTATAAAAACTATACTTTCAAAACTCAAAAGCATGTTTGGATCAGTTTTGTTTTGTTTTTGTTGTTGTTGTCTTTTTTTTTTTTTGGTGCTGGGGCTCAAACCCAGGGCCTTGTGCTTGCAAGGCAAGCACTGTACCAACTGAGCTATATCCCCAGCCCCTGGTCAGTTTTTAAATCAAATTAAATATTAAATCTTTCAAAGTAACAATAGGAAAATTAGAAAAGCAGAGTTAAAACTCTAGGAGCTTCTGCCTATGACAAACAGAAGATATTACATTATGTAACTTTTAAGTTCATACAACACTGGCTATGCCAAACCAAAAGCATCTGGTTTTAATGCTGTTGCCTTGGACCTCTGTTTACTGATTTCCTTTCTATATTGCTGGTTTGCACAAATATTTTTATGGCCCTCCATGGTGA